GGTGGATATCTTCCCAGGGATCCTGGATTCTGAGAGGGCTCAGGCCAGGCTGAGGGATCCCCATTCCCCCCCCGTGTACCAATTGCATACTACGGACCTCTAGTATGCATTCTAAGCTTCTCAGCACAGTATATTCAAAGGCCCCATCTTTAGCATTATTCTTTTTTTAAAATAAAAATATATATTTTTTATTGATTTTACAGAGAGGAAGGGAGAGGGATAGAATCAGAAACATCAATGAGAGAGAAACATCCATCAGCCGCCTCCTGCACACTCCCTACTGGGTATGTGCCCGCAACCAAGGTAGATGCCCTTGACAGTAATCGAACCTGGGATCCTTGAGTCTGCAGGCTGACACTATCCACTGAGCCAAACCAGTTAGGGCAGTGGTTGGCAAACTCATTAGTCAACAGAGCCAAATATCAACAGTACAACAATTGAAATTTCTTTTGAGAGCCAGATTTTTTAAACTTCTTCTAATGCCACGTCTTTAAAATAGATTCACCCAGGCTATGGTATTTTGTGGAAGAGCCACACTCAAGGTGCCAAATGGCATTGATAATTTGTCTTTTGAAGATGATTTAGTTTGAAATGTAATGCTAATTAATATTCACTTTTGGTACAGATGGATATCCATGCATTTCCAAATTTCTGTGTGCCTTTGTGTTTTGAGTATAGAAGTGTACCATTAATGGCACAAACAAATCTAGACCTTGGTTTATTTTATGGTTGGTTTGTTTTCTTGGGGGTGGGGGGGGGAGAAAGTAAAAAAACAACAAAAAACGATTATAATTACTTTTCTAACCTAATAGTATTACTGTTAGAGAGTCATTTTTTAAACAAACATAATCTCTGCAGTAAAACATCATCTTGAATCTTTCAAAACCAAAAGGATTTAATATGCACTTAAGTATAGAGACTAGTATAATCAATCTAAGAATAGTAAGTCAATGAAGATAGCATTTTGTTTTAGCTGCTACCTAATGTACAACTTTTCTGTATGTAATAAATATATCCTTGAATTTATTTTTTTGTAGCTAACTATGTCTTCTTCAAATGCACTTTAGCCTTTCATAATCTGAAAGGAAAGCTCCCCTAACCACCTTTAATTACTCTAGAATTATAAGTCCTTTTAATGTGTTGGGCACAGTTCTACTTGCTGGATATATATCAGTGAACCAAACAAGTTCCTGTTTCCATGAATGTTAGAAAGGCAATAAATATATGTAGTAAGTCGTGTGATGAATTTGTGCAAAATTATCCAGAATAAAAACCTAGAGATGACTTGAGAGACTTGGTTAGATCTCACAGGAAGCAGCTGAAGTAGTTTTGGTCTTTAGATTCAAACAGTATCCTAGAAATTAGTTTTCTTCATTTATCTTAAACTGGGAGTGTGGAGGATATAATAGACTAGAGGCCCAGTGCACAACCTTTTTGCACTGGATGGGAGAAGGAGGTTGCTCAGCACGGCCTATCTCCTTTTGCAGGCCAAGAGCCCTTGGGGGATGTCGGATTGACAGCAGTAAGACATCCTTAGCACTGGTGTGGAGGCGGAAAGGTTCCTGCCATCACCGCTGGCGCACCTGTCAGCCCAGCTTGTGACTAAGCAGTGCTCCTCCTGTGGAAATGCACGGACCATCAGGGGGCAGCTTCTGTTTTGAGTGTCTGTCCCCTGGTGGTCAGTGTGTGTCATAGAGACCAGTTGTTCTGCTGTTTGGTTGATTTGCATATTATCCTTTTATTATACGATATTCATTTCTATATTTTTATCCGCATAACTTTCAAAAATCTACATATATAGAATTTATTAGTCATTTAAGTGTACTGTTTTTTAAATTACCACATTTTTCACATAGTATGAATAGTGGACTTCAAAAGCAACTTGAGTTTATGGATTAAATTTTTAAGACAATTAGAAACTATTTCTGCACTTAGTCTTCCTCATGAAGATATTGACATGCATTCTTCTTAGTAAATTTTTTACTAAGCCTAGTTAAGTTACAACCTGGCAATAGGGGACTTTGTGTCTGAAAGTCACTTTTGATTGAAACTTAATACCGTCTGTAATTTAACTTTTTAATTTTCTGACTTTCCCTACAGTAAATCCTCTGTTCTAGCATATAGAAATTGTATATTTGTCTACCAGTGCTACATTCTTGTCTTAATACAAATTAGTTACTTCAGTAAAAAACAACAACAACAAAAAAAAAAACCTTTCATATTATTCTTTCTGCATGCAGTATCTTCTTTGAACAATTTTAATACCTCTGACCTGAACTTTTAATTTGGCATTAACCATGCACTACTCTTTGAGAACTTAGGTTTTCTAAAACTTTAAAATATTGTTTTCGTGTTTATTTTTCCATGTTTATTTCCTTTACTTTATCTTCTCCCATTGGATTAGAATATTGTTTAGCAGAAAATTTCATTGTGAAGCAACTTTTCTTTAGAAACTCATTTTCTTAATGCTCTTAAGAGAATTGGCTGGTTAAGTTAACATACTGTAAAATTCTTCAAATATTTACTGATATTATTTTCAGAGGGTTTTGTGTATTTGTATTTGAAATATTAGAAATCTGAAATGTTATTTAATGGTAAACCGCATTAGCTTAGGAAATTTAGAGGGAAATATTGTTTCCCTCTAAATTTAACCTTTAGTATTAACTGTGTTGATTAAATATAGCAGTTATGCCTGTTTACAAGACAGATGACTTTCAAAGATGGAACAATACAGAGTTTTTGATGTTATGAAGGTAAAGAATGTTCCTTAAGGTGTGTGTTTGTTTTTTTCCTTATTTCTGACATCTAGATACTAGGCAAGAATGTAATTGTGTTCTAGGTTAGTAACTTTTAAAAATCTATTTTAGTTATTGCAGTGTTAGGAGTACCTTAGATTTTTGAAATAAGGTTCCCTGATCATGTTAAGTAGTTATGTTTTGTCAGAAAATAGGAAAGTTTATTGTAGTACCTATTTGTAAGCACCATGACAAAGGATGTCAAAACAAACTTTTCCCTGAGTGTTAGAAGTTTGTCATTTTATAATTCTTTAAATTGCAGTACCATCATTATGTTCTTCACTGCCATGTATTCACAGTTTTAAAAAAGCCATTTTACCTTAGGAATAATCTTGATTCCTAGCCTGTTGCTCTGTGGTTAGAGCATTGGCCCACAGACTTGAAGGGTCATGGGTTCATTTCTAGCCAAGGGTACGTACATACTTTGGTTGCTGGCTCAATCCCAATCCCCTGGTCAGTGGGTATGGAGGCAACCAATTGATGTGTCTCTCTCACATGTTTCTTTCTCTCTCCCCCTCCCTTCCATTCTCTCTAAAAACTAATGAGAAAATTATCCTCAGATGAGGATTAACAGCAACAACAATAAAATCTTGAAGCAATAAATATATATTTTATGAAATCTCCACTTTTAAATACATCCTTTTAATATTGTGTGTGACAAAATGGGGAATACACATAAAGTATTTCTGTGTATTTTAGGTGTCAGGTAATGGTACCTTTTAGCTCCTTTTTTTCCTCTCATGAAATGTCTTTTTTGCTAGAAAAATATAACTGACAGACACATTACACTGATGAAATTTAGATATTTGGTAAAAGTTCTAGGAAGTAATAGAAGTGAGCCTGTCACTTTTAAGAAAAATGATTGGTGGTTATTTTTTTGCCAATGATAAAAGTAAGTTTTCGAGTACAAATTAGAATTTTGGAAGTTTATTTGCCTGGGCTTAAAAGCTTTCCAGAACTTAAAAGCTTTTCTGGCCAAAACCGGTTTGGCTCAGTGGATAGAGCGTCGGTCTGAGGACTGAAGGTCCCAGGTTCGATTCCAGTCAAGGGCATGTACCTTGGTTGTGGGCACATGCCCAGTAGGGGGTGTGCAAGAGGCAGCTGATCGATGATTCTCTCTCATCGATGTTTCTAACTCTCTATCACTCTCTCTTCCTCTCTGTAAAAAATCAATAAAATATGTTAAAAAAAATAACACAAAAAAAACTTTTCTGGCCCTAACTGATTTGGCTTAGTGAATAGAACATTAGCCTGCAGACTGAAGGGTCCCAGGTTTGATTCTGGTCAGGGGCGAGTGCCTTGGTTGTGGGCACATCCCCAGTAGGAGGTATGCAGGAGGCAGCTGATTGATGTTTCTCTCTCATCGATGTTTCTAGCTTTCTATCCCTCTCCTTCCCTTTCTGTAAAAAATCAATAGAAACAAAAAACAAAAAAAAAAACATGATGAAATCAGTTGTGGGTGATGTTAATGAATATGGTGGGTTTTTTTTATATTGTAGTTTAATTTTGAAAATAGTAAATGTTAATAAATTTAACCTTTATATGAAGTCCTTGGGAGTGCAGTACTTTCTGTGTATAATAAAAGGGTCCTGAGAGCAAAAAATCTAAGAACAGCCGAAACAGGTTTGGCTCAGTGGTAAAGCGTTGGTCTGTAAACTGAAAGGTCGCGGGTTTGATTCTGGTCAAGGGCAGGTATGTTGTTTGCGGACACATCCCCGGTGGGGGGTGTGCAGGAGGCGGCTGGTCGGTGTTTCTCTCTCATCGACATTTCTGGCTCTCTTTCTCTCTCCCTTCCTCTCTGTAAAAAGTCAATGAGATATATTTAAAAAAAAAATCTTAAGAACAGCTGATATAGATCCTCTGCCTAAGTCAAAGGTTTCACAGTTTAACCTTACATCCTTCTCCTACCTGACCCTCATCCCACAAATTAAAATAGAAAAGAATACTACGATTTCTGTAAAAAATTTAGATTGCATGGTGATAATATATTTTAAAATTATTTTACAATTGTAATTTTCTCCTTTCGTTATACAGTGGGCTTATATAACCCCATTGAATTTATTTAGGGTTGCACTGAATTTACTATCGTTGATATTTACGTTAAAAATATTTTTTCTCTCCCCCTTTTCTACTGTTTATTTCTCTTTTCACTTTCCCTTTCTCCTTTCATTCATCCCTTCATTTCTGTTTGTATTTGTTTTCTAGGTGGAGTCTTTCATTTTGGATCAGGATGACTTGGAAAATCCAATGCTGGAAACAGCTTCCAAATTGCTTTTGTCAGGTACTGCTGATGGTGCAGACCTCAGGACAGTAGATCCAGAAACACAAGCTAGACTGGAAGCTTTACTAGAAGCTGCAGGTAAGTCCGCAAAGCCCGCATATATAATGTTTATCTAATAAAAGTTACAATAAGTATAAAAAAAAATTCTGTCATTATCAATGTATGACCTTGGATATTTAGTATAATACTGTTCATAAAGGTTAATGTATTACTTTTTAGAGAATTACTTGGAACATTTCATTAAAGAATAGTTTTATTACCAGAGTAAAATATAATGTTATTGTCAACCTTTTTATAAAAAGGGACTTCTTATACAGTCGATTTTCATTAGTCCTGAATTCCATATTTGTGAATTTGCCTACTTGATGAAATGTATTTGTACCCCGAAATTAGTACTCACAGCACTTTCTCAGTCTTTCATAGAAATGCACAGAATGGTGAAAATTTTGAGTCGTCCTACACACATGTTCCCCGCTGAGGTGGAATAAGGTGATGTTCTGCCTTCTTGTTTCAGCTTTCATACTGTAAACAAGTGTCCTTTTCACAGTCTACTTAGTGCCACGTTTTTCAAATTTGTGTACTTTTTGTTGCTAATTTCACTGTTTAAAATGGCCCCAAAGTATAATGCTGAAATGCTGCCTAGTGTTTCTAAATGTGAGAAGGCTGTGATGTGCCTTTAAGAAAAATACATGTTAGATAAGCTTCTTTCATGCATGAGTTATTAGTCATGAATTTAATGTTAAAGAATCAACTAAGTATTAAATAAGGTAGTCTTTAAACAAAATCACACATAAAACAAAAATATATCGATTAGTTAATGCAAATGTTGTGATCAGAGGCTTGAAGGAACCTAATCCTGTTTTCCTGAAGAAGCAGTAGATCAGTATTCATAAATTCAGGGTTCCCAGCAACTCTGTAGAACACAAATACCATGAATAACGAGAATCGACTGTATATAATTCCCCCCACTTTTTTTGACAGAGACTGTCTCTTAGAACCCTGTAAAGTGAATTATTATTTTTGTAAAGTGGATCATCATTATATTGTTCCTATAGGAGATTACATGACATAATAAAAGATTTAGCTACGCGCGTGTGTGTGTGTGTACATATACACACATACACACGTGTGTATGTGTATGTATATGCGCGCGTGCGCGCGCGCGCGCGTGTGTGTGTGTGTGTGTGTGTGTGTGAACGATAAGGGAACAGTAACTCTTGATTATCTAAATAATAGTACTGTGTTCATCGGTTGAGAACCTCGCTGTGCTATATATTGTACATGCAATGCATGTAAACTGCTACTTAATTATATTATAAAATTGACCTACTGTTTGATAATCCTTTGAGTAAATATCTTTTAACACAGCATCTAAATATTTGAAGGACTCATAGTTAAGTTTTCTATCCTGGGTAAAATTCTAGAATGTGTACCCTGGTATTAAAAGTCTTTTAGCCAGATACAGATAAAAACATAGTAGGGGCGCATGGAAGGCCCTGTCCTTGAGTATAGACAACTCTTTGTCACAGTATAGTGGAGATATATTTTAGCGTTTGCCAGAAATTGATGTTGCTGTAGAAGTCTGTGTGAGGGAAATGGGGATTGTAAAGTAATTTGAAAACATGTCATAAGAGGAACAGGGATTGTTTCTCCTGAAGATGAGAAAACTCAGGTTGAATACAAAAGGGATGTTTGTTTTCTGGGGCTCCAAGAGGCTAAATCAGGTACAAAGATGTTGCTACATGAAAGTTGACTATAGCCAAAAGGAGTTACTTTTGGAGGTAGAGTACCATTTTATTTTACTTATAGAAGGTAACAAGCTAGCCTGCCCCCTCCCTCTCTTTCTTTCTTTCTTTCTCTCACTTATCCTTTTCCTTCCTCATATATGTCCTTCCCTTTTAAATGAAAAATTTCATATACAAACCCAGAAAGAAGAGCATAGTAAATCCTTGACATATCCATCATCCAGCTTCAACAGCCATCAATGTATGGACACAATTTAAAATATATTTTTATTGATTTCAGAGAAAAAGAGACAGATAGAAACATAAATGATGAGGGGAAATCATTGATTGGCTGCCTCATGCACACCCCCTACTAGTGATCAGGCCCAAACATCCTGGACATGTTCCCTGACCAGGAATCAAACCATGACCTCCTGGTTCATAGGTTAACACTCACCTACTGGGCTGTATGGAGACTTTGTTTCATCTTTACATATTACCACCTTGCTGACTACCCACCCCACATGTTAATTTAAAGCAAATCTAAGCATCATATTATTTCATATGTAAATAATTCAGTATGTACTTCTAAATTAAGAACTTTAAAAAAGAGAAATAAGCCCGGATGGCGTGGATCAGTGGTTGAGTGTCAACCTGTGAACCAGGAGATCATGTTTCAGTTCCCTGTCAGGTTGTGGGCTCGATCCCCAGTGTGGGGCAATCACCATCAGTGGTTGAGTGTCGACCTGTGAACCAGGAGATCATGTTCAGGCCCATGTCCAGGTTGTGGGCTCGATCCCCAGTGTGGGGCATGCAGGAGGCCATGATTCGCTCTCATCATTGATGTTTCTGTCTCTCTCCCTTCTTCTCTGAAATCAATAAGAATGTCTTAAAAAGAGAGAATAAAACCATAATACCATTGCATATCTAAGGAAAAAAGTAATAGTAATTTCTTAATATTGCCAGATATCCTGTCAGTGTTCAGAAATTATTTTTTATGTTAATGAATTTGTTTGTGTGCCTTAGTCATAACAGTTCCTTTTCCCTATTTTTGTTTTTTTTGTTTGTTTGTTTGTTTTTAATCCTCACTTGAGGATATTTTTTCTATCGATTTTTTTTTTTTTTTTTTTTTTTTTTTTTTTTTTTTTTGAGAGAGAGAGAGAGAATGGAAGGTACGAGAGGAGGGGAAAGAAAGAGAAACATCGATATGAGAGAGGCATATTGATTGGTTGCCTCTTGCACACTGCCTGATCAGGGCTGGCGATTGAATCCTCTTGACCAGAAATTAAACCTGCTGTTCATGGATCAACACTCATACCATTGAGTAACACCATCTAGGGGTTTTTATTGATTTCAGAGAGGAAGGGAGAGGGGGAGAGAGAGCTAGAAACATCATTGATGGAAGAGAATCATTGATCAGCTGCCTCCTGCACATCCCCCACTGTGGATTGAGCTGCACCCTAGACGTATGCCCTTACCAAGAATTGAACCGTGACCTCCTGGTTCATAGATCGATGCTCAACCACTTAGTCATGCAGGCTGGACTCCTACTTATTTTTGAAGAAATGAGTCATTTGTCTCATTCTATGGATTTTCCCAGTTGTACCTCTGTGTGTGGTCCTGAATCAGAATTCAGATCCCGATATTTGACCAGATTTCTGTTCATTTGGCAAGATTAGTCATTCCTGGTGTTTATGTTTCCTTATATATCACATAGGTACTTTGGTTGTTTCTCTTTTAATGATGTTGAGATTGATTACAGTTTAGGCATCTTAAGAAAAGATGCTTGGGAAAAGTTTTTGAGACCTTGTCCAAAATGCCTTTGACACTATCTTCATAATTGATAGTTTGACTAGGCATAGGCGGCTAGTTTAAAAATCACTTTTTAAAAACTTTTGAAGTTCCTGCTCCATTGTCTCCTAATTTTTGCTATTGCAGTTCAGAAGTTTGATGCCAAACTTATTTAGGATATTCTTCTAACTCTATTTTTCCTTACTCTTCCTTCTCCAAAGCATTACAGGTTTTGGCATTTTAAGGTTTTGATCTTATTTTGAAAATTGTTTTTGCTATCTTTCACATTTAAGATTTCAAATGCCGGATGAATCCTGTGTTTTGTTTATGATTAGTAGCAATGCCATTGAAAGATAAATTTAAAGGTGTACATTAATATATTGTCAACTGGTGGGTTTTGATATATATATATATATATAGTTTATTATATATTATCATATATGTTATATATGTAATTAACTAATTTTCTATTGGAGCATAACAATTTACAGTAAACACAGCAATATGACACAATGCCCATTTACTATCTTTTAGTTTCTGTAGATGAGCCATCAGGGCACACAGTGGGGCGAGATTTCCTTGTTCATTGTCTCGTGGACTGAAATTAAGATGTCACCTGAGTTGACTGGGCAGTAGGAAAAGTCTGCTTCCAAGTTTACTGTTGTTGATAACAGAATTCAGTTCTTTGGAGTTGTAGGACTTAGGTTCCAGTTTCCTCATGGACTATTAGCTGGGGCTGTTCTCACTTCCTTGAGGTTGCCCACATTTTTTTTTTTTTTTTCCCTGTGGCATCCTCTATCTTTGACTTCTCTTGCTTTGCCCCTCTGACTTAACTTCCTTTTCTCCATTCTCATCAGCCAATCTCTTTATGGGTCATGTGATGAGGTCAGGCCTACCAAGATAATCCCTGTCTTCAGTTCTTCTGTGCCATATAACATAATCCTAACCCTAAAACCCTTCTGTGATGAGAAACCTGCACAAATATGTTTGTTATTTCTGGATGTTTGTCTTTTGTTATTCTGAATTTTGAAAATATGGTGCATTTAGATAGGATTTTGAGTTAAAATAAGTTGCAGTCCTAATTTGAAATAAATAAGTATAGGTATTTAGATATAGGTTATTATAGCCTATAATGTTTTATTAGTTCATTTTTGGTCACAAGTGATAGTAGCCCAACTAAACATCTGTAATAATAAAAGCATAATGTGCTAATTAGACCGGACAGCTGAACACCTTCCAGACATCCTTCCGGATGAAGCCAAGAGTTGCGAGGGCCAAGCCTCTTGCAAGAATTTCGTGCATTGGGCCTCTAATTCTTAAATAAAAGTGGTTATTTACCAAAAGTATAGGCTTGGTGCTGGCTTCTGGCACCATTAGTGTCAATGAGTCAAAATAACTTTATCAGAACTCTGTCTCCTTTCTTCTCTGTTCTTTTCTTCTCTTTGTTGACTTTTTTTGGGGGTAGTCTTTTTCACTTGTGGTGCGAAAAGTGACCAAATAATTCAAGATCCTCGTCTTAGCAATTTAACATCCTTTGAACATAGGTTGTTTAATTGTCTCAGTATAGCCAAACACCCATTTCTAGTACAGGAGAATCATGGAATTAAGCAGTTATAGGTCACTTGGAAGGAATAGGAAGATTACCAGAGAATTGGAGAAGAGTGTTTTTCTAAAAGATTCAGGGCAGACAACATATACTTACAATGTACCATTTGTATCTTACTTGATAACATATATTGAGTTAAATAACTTGAATTTTGCTTTATTTTTCCTTTTGGGTGCATTCATTTTGGTGTGACAATAATATATAGGAATAGGCAAATTATCTACGGCTGATGGTAAAGCCTTTGCAGATCCTGAAGTGCTTCGGAGGTTGACATCATCTGTTAGTTGTGCGTTGGATGAAGCTGCTGCTGCACTTACCCGTATGAGAGCTGAAAGCACAGCAAATGCAGTGCAGTCGGACAAGTAAGTACATTTTCATTGTAATCAATATAAAAACATTTTCTTAAAAATGGTAAAGTAATTAACATTTATTTTGTTCCTGGAACTATACTAGACATTTTACATGTGTTACCTTGTTTTTACTAACAAAAAGTCTTAATCATGGGTTTTGTTTTTATACCCATTTTACTTACGAAAAGCTTAAGGGAAGTGAATAGCTTAAGTTTAAATAGGTGACAAGTGACAGAACTGGGACACCAGTGTCTGCCTGTCTACAAAGTTAACTTCTTAGCTGATACATTATAAAAGATATTTTGCTGATTTAGGTTTTCATTTCTTTTAAAGTTTTGGTGACAAAGTAGTAAATGCTTTCTAATTAGTCATGCCATTTTCCAGTTCATGTACATAGTTATCTTGTAAAGGGCATGATTTTTATTTGTTTGTTTTAAAAATGTACAAAAAATGTCATAAATCTAGTTCCAGTACTTGAATGTAACATTTACATTCAAGCACATTGTAGCATGTACATTTATTTTTGTATGTCCTACAATTCCTTCTATATAATATAGTAAAGGCTCATTCACTAAATTGGTTGTGACTTAGCTTTTTAAGTTTTTCTGATGATGCTATGAATAAACTCACACTATCTCATATATGAAAATAATTATGTATATAGTAGTGTGAAAAATTGATATAAACTCCAAAGAATTGGCTGGGGGGGAATCATTAATACATATTTCTTATTTCCTCAGAACCTTTTTTTCTTCTCTTTAAAATGAAGTTTATTTTGTTTATTTTAGCAGTTGCCTTTAAACAATTCAGAAAATGGGAATATTCTCTTTTGTATATATTTAGAGAATGAAAAATAGCATTTAAGAATTGGCTTTTGTATAATAGTTTAGTTTTTGTTTTTTAATATATTTTTATTGATTTCAGAGAGGAAAGAAGAGGGAAAGAGAGGTATAAACATCAGTGATGAGGGAGAATCATTGATTGGCTGCCTCACGCATGCCCCTAACCTGGGATGGAGCCTGCAACCAAGGCATGTGCTCTGACCAGGAATCAAACCTCTGATCTCTTGGTTCAATAGGTCAGCGCTCAACCACTGAGCCATGCTCACTGGGCTGTATAATAGTTCTTTTAGGCATCTACTTTTAAGAATGTGAAAGAAGTTATATAGTATTACTAAGAGTATGAATTTACTATTTCTCTTTGCTCGGTATTGTCTTTATTTATGTAGATTTTTGTGTTCTTAGTAATTTACTTTACCATTCTTCTCATATATTAATTCTTCTTTAGGTATCCTCAGATTCTGTTCCTTATTTAACAGTTAGGTTTTCCTGGCCTACAATATTATTGATCTCCAGATATTTAAAAAACATACATTTTTTTAAATTAATTTTTAGAGGGAGAGGAAGGGAAAGGCAGAGATAGAAACATTGATTAGCTGCCTCCTGCACACCACTTACTGGAGGTTGAGTCTGCAACCTGGCCATGTGCCCTGACCTAGAATAGAACCGGTGACCTCTTGATTCATGGGTCAATGCTCAACTACTGAGCCACTCCTGCAGGGCAATCTCTAGATATATTTTGATGTGGTGCCTGCTCAAACTAGCAAGAGAGAAAAATGAGAAAATTATAAAACACCTTGGAGAGAAAATTAAAATACCTTAATGTTAATTCAAACTGTAAATAAAATAGAAAAAAATGTATAGATTATTGGGGCATTGAAAATACTAGAAGTAATCAACAAAGCAGTAGAACATGTTTGTGACAGTCATATTCAGCAAGGCATGAGAAATATAGTGGAATACAGTGAGTGCTATATTCCAGATTTTACATTAGGTAAGTGCAGTAACGTGCCATATTTAGCATACCCTTTGCCATGAGTTCTTAAATTCAGCTGTTACTAGAGTAATTCCTATAAGGTTGTTTTAAAGCTAGCATACATGTGGAAATTGAATGAAAGTCTAAATGGGAAGGTAGAGGGTGGTGTGTGCCTGATGGGGGGAGAGAATAAGAGACCACTTGAAAGAGAGAAAGGTAGGGTATGTTCTTATACAGAGAGTGTCTTGTGGGAAGGATAAATTTAGAAAGAATAGAGAACACTGACAGTTTAGGAACAGTCAGTATCCTATAGAATGGAAGATAAGATAAGCTTACTAACTGCTGTTCAAGACTGACTTTGGTAAGGAAACAATACAGTTAACAAGTAGGTAAAATACTTAGTATGGCACATAATGAATGTTAAGAATTATGGGTTGGATAATAGAGTGGAAGTGCTAGGGCAGTGTTTGGCGTTGGAGGTCACATTGCATTTTTAATGGTCAGAGATCCTCACTTAAAAGGTGGCCTTTTAGTAAAAATCTGAAATAGTCAAGGGAATACATGAGCATGTCTGAGAGAGGTTCTCTTGGTAAAAGGAGCTTAATCAACATTTTTTTTATAACAAGCAGGAAATTCATTGTGGCTAAAGTAGAAAGAGCAAGAGTGAGTATAGTAAGTGATAAAACAAGAAGATAAAAAGGAAGAGTGTAAGATGTTATGGCTGGACAGATGTTGTATAATTCTGGCCTTTATTGTGAGATTAGAGGCTATAACAAGCAGGAATGACATGATCTACTTTTCTTTAAACAAGATCTCTGGCTTTCTCATTTAAAAGAACCTGAAGGAGTTCAGGGCACATACCTGGGTTACAGGTAGGGTTGGGCACGTACAGTTGAAGGCAACTGATAGATTGATCTTTCTTTCTCTTGCATCAATGTTTCTCTCATTAAGTCTGTCTTCAGGTGACGATTTAAAAAAAAAAGCAAATTCCAGTTCCTAAACAAAATGAAGTGTACTTATAAATTGTATTTTATTCATGTGATATTTTATAAAGTTTTAAAATTTTGGTTTTTTTTTTTTTTTTTTTTAATATATTTTATTGTTTTTTTACAGAGAGGGAAGGGAGAGAGATAGAGAGCCAGAAACGTCGATGAGAGAGAAACATCGACCAGCTGCCTCCTGCACACCCCCCACCGGGGATGTGCCCACAACCAATGTACATGCTTTTGATTTAAGAATCGAACCTGGGACTTTTCAGTCCACAGACCAATGCTCTACCACTGAGCCAAACCGGCTTCGGCAAAGTTTTGGTTTCTTTATACTTACAGTAAATTGGACTTGATCTATAATAATAAAAGCGAAATATGCTAATTAGACTGGACAGCCGAACAGTCTTCTGGATGAAGCCGCCGAAGCATAGGCTGAGACAGAGGCGGTTAGGGGTGATCAGGCAGGCAGGCAAGCACTTAGGAGACAGCGGTCCTAGGTTGCAAGAGGGATATTCTGACTGCCAGTTTATCGGGCCTAAACTGGTAGTTGGACATCTCCTGAGGGGTCCTGGATTGCAAGAAAATGCGGGCCTGGTTGAGGGAACACCCTTCCCCTCCACCCCACCTTACCCCCCACCCCCTGTGCATGAATTTCATGCACTGGGGCTCTAGTTTTTATTATATAACAGATAATATTTATAATTTTAAAAATTGAATTCAGTGACTTTTATATTGAGATTAAAAAACTCAATGAACTGAATTATTTTCAGGTTTTTTCCTATAGATCCTATTGAAATAATTAATTCTTGCTTAACACCATGTACTAAGACTGTTCAGTGTTTTATAACATCATACCATGATATTGCAATATTCTTTCCCTAATAGCCGCAGCTTGGCAGAAGCCTGTTCAGAAGGAGATGTGAATGCTGTGCGAAAGTTACTCATTGAAGGGCGGAGTGTAAATGAACACACTGAGGAAGGGGAGAGCCTCCTTTGTTTGGCCTGTTCTGCTGGATACTATGAGCTTGCACAGGTTTGTATTATCAAAATAAAGCTCATGAGCTTTTAAATTTTGTTTTGTTTTTAATCTGGCCTGCTTAGTTGGGAAATAATAAAGGCACACAGTATGATTGTTTCAATCAATAGTTTTCTTAGCTACATTTTGTGTTTATTGGCTCTTCTATTTAAGTATGATTGTACAGGTGAAACGTTCAGATTTTTTAATGAAATTATTTTCTAAACTTTCTTTTCCCATAAGGTTTTGTTGGCGATGCATGCAAATGTGGAAGATAGGGGAATCAAAGGTGACATTACGCCTTTAATGGCTGCTGCTAATGGAGGACATGTCAAAATTGTGAAGTTGTTGCTAGCTCATAAAGCCGACGTCAATGCACAGTCTTCAACAGGTTATGTGTATTTTCTAGTTTTGTTAAATTTCAATACCCTTTGGTAATATTACTTAACATGAATGTCATCATTAGTGATGCTTTTGCAATTCTCTTATAAACACTGCATGTTTGGATAAGTCTGTGCACTTGATGTAAAGTATTTATACTATGTTTTGAATATATACAAAATAGCTTTTGTATATAAGGGCAGTTACTTGGCCTTTTAAGGTTCTTTAAAATTAAACACTGGCCCAGTTAGAAGGGGCTCTCTCTTGGAAAAGGAGAGGTGTGAGCTCTGACTTGCAAACCCAGGTTTCCTATTTTGGGGGGAGAAGGTAGGAGAAGATATGGAGGTACCGAATGAAAGGCAGGTCTTTTCATTGCCTATTCTTACTAAATTGTGGCCTATAGAAAAAGACAGTATATGAAAACATTGTGCCCCAGAAGCGGCAAAATTTTAGCCTAAATTTTTTTCTTTTTAAATTTGGACATAGATGAAATTGTATAAAAGTTCTGAAATCATATGAAAATATATTTCATGCATTTTTTTTCCGTGTAAGATTTTCAAAACTTAAATACTAAATTTTAAGATATGCAAATTCTGGTTTGAAGGGATTTTAGAAATTCTTATTTTTACCCAGAAAGTTTTTTTGTTTTGTTTTGTTTTGTTTTTATCCCTCCTCCTCCAGTAATATGGGAGAAAGAATGTTTTTTTAAATTACTTGAACTTTCATCAATTAACTGATGAAATTGTAGAGAAAAGAAATATGTATGATTAAAAGATTGGTATGAGGTGTGTCTATAGATGATGAATAATTACAATCCCAGAAAATAAAGCTTGTAAAACATTTCTCTGATTAAAGTTAGAATGGACATAACCTATTTCTCATCTGAAAAGTAGTTTCAGAATTGCTCAGTTTTTTTTATAACTCTACAATCATGGTAGAGTGTATCTGATTTTCCACATGTATTTGACCCTGAATTTAAATCCAAAGAGTAGAAAGTTGATTTCAGTAAGATAAAATGCAGTAAGGAACAGAGTTATATATAAGTATATTATCTAAATTTACACTGAGTGGCCAGATTATTATGCATTCAGAGATCATAATAATCTGGCTACTCAGTGTATAAATACTATAGTCTCCCATTTCAGTTTTTTATTTTTATTTTTTATGCTTAATTAGATTCTGTTTTTAGTATTTTATGTTAATGTCTTTTTGTTTTTCTTCACTAAAATAGGCAACACAGCACTTACATATGCTTGTGCTGGAGGCTATGTAGATGTTGTAAAGGTGCTCTTGGAATCCGGTGCTAGTATTGAGGACCACAATGAAAATGGTCACACTCCTCTTATGGAAGCTGGAAGTGCTGGACATGTGGAAGTAGCCAGATTGCTGCTAGAAAATGGGGCTGGCATTAATACGCATTCCAATGAATTTAAAGAGAGTGCCCTTACATTAGCTTGTTATAAAGGTACAGTATATTAAAAAAAAAAATTTTTTTTAAGTTTCAAATGTAAAGTTTTTTTAAATTAAAAAGTAAAAATAAAACATAATGGAGTATAGCATGTAATTAATTGGTAAGTGTTTAAAGTCTTTTGAATTAAAAGTCTAATAAGTAAACTTTTAAAAAAATATAGACTTAGCATTGTCAATAAAGAACGACTATTCCAGTTATTTTATCAGAAAGTTATTTAACTTTAATATGCACTTTTAAATAGTGTTGCATGTTAGAATATTTTCCCTGGTTCAAACAAAAGAATTCTACTGAAACCAGAACTATCCAGTCTGTGAGTTTAAAAGAAAACATAATAAAAACCAGAATGACCTAACAACAAGGTACTTAAGGTATTTCCTTTGATACCAAAAAGAAAAGAGAAAAATTAAAGACAAGTAGGAGATATGAGAAGAAGAATGAAAAGTGGTATGAAGGGAGTTTGAATTAAAAAGAAAAATTTTAGTGGAGCAGGTGGGGACCATGGAAGGAAAAAAAACAACAATAATTTTAGAGTATCATTTAGTAAAGTTAGAAGTATTAATAGGAGCTGGTTGAGATTGAGAATGGCTCGCCATATATAGCTGTTACAAAGGAGATACATAATATTTTAAGTGATGTAAACCAACTGAAAAATATTGATATTACAGAAAAATACTCTTGGGATAGCAACACAATTGTTTGAAAAAATGCTTTAGTCTTCAGCTAGCAAATGCTCTAGATTCTGCATTCTAAAAAGCCCACGGAATCAGAGTTTTTCATACTTCACCTTTATGTCAGATAAATGCGTATAAATTAAGGAACTTTAATAAAGCAAATTACATGAAATTGGAGTCTGCATAGCCATTCAATTCATTGCTCCATATAGCTATGCCATGTTTATTTCATAAAATAAGTGGTGAATTATTGACTTTGAGGCATCAAGGAAAAGCTCTTGCAAGGTGAAAAAGTTTAGGGAGATGCTTCCAGTGGCTGAATCTTCACTTACCAAGGCATTCGAGTGAACACCTCCTTAAATTTTGTACTTGGGACTTTGTTGCCTCACCCTACTCCTGGTCCTGGTGTTTCGTTTTTTTTATTTCAGAGTGCCCAAGATTGTGTGAATTCTTCTGGAAAAATTTTCTTTGAAAGATGATTAAGATAATGCTTAGATACATAAATGACTAAAATAGAAGTTAAATATGAAAATACAGTCTATCTAAAGTGATTTTGATTATCTGATGGTAACGAATTTTCAGATATAGGGTAATTAGGAAGCACAGCTGAGATCTATTAGTTCGATCAGGTATTAGGCAGAGGCCATTCTTCTGGGAGGAGAAAATTTAAGCAGGCTGGTTGGGTGGCTCGCTGCCTTTTTCACAAATACTTTTTGAACCTGGTTGCGTTTTACAACTAAGTCCCAGCTAGCCAGAAGAACATTGAAATCGGCTATATATAATGACTCTTCCCTCTCTCCTTTGCTTGTAGCCCCACCCTGCTTTCCAAAAGGGGCACCTGTAGTTGCGGCTTACAGGCTTTAAATAGAAGCTGGATGTAGAGGGTTCATGATCCAAGAACCCTCTTTCTTTCTTCTATTTCTGGTGAAGTCTCGTAGGCCAGAGATTGACAATGAGGAGATGGAGATGGGATAGAACTCAGGCTGAGGCTGAATATTGATGTGTATATTTGGGAAGGGAGAATGACAGAGAAAAGATAATAGAAACAAGATGTGGCAGATACTGCACTTACCAAAGTTAGTGTTGTTTAAATTGTTTATCTGTGGTTCTATCATCCACTGCTCTCTAGTTCCAGTTGATTAAAAATTGACTGAAGCTCATTCCAAATAATTTTGGTGGGAAATTATTAATTTTTCTATTTATTATATCTGAAGTCATTTCTAAAATTTGTCTTTATAACTACTTACATGTTGTCTTTATCTGAACTGAAGCATATGGTTTATTTGAGACTACATAAATATATGCACGTGTATGGGTATAGTATGTTAAATCTAAATAAATGAAGAGCACTCACTGGCCAGTTTGCCTTAGTGGATAGAGCTTTGGCCTGGGGACTGAAGGGTCCCAGGTTCTATTACTGTCAAGGGCACATAACTCAGTTGCAGGCTTGATCCACCCAGATGGGTGCAGGAGGCAACTGGTCGATGTGTCTCTCATATAGATGTTTCTCTCTCTGCCTTCTACTCTCTCTAACCCTCCCTTCTCTCTCTCTCTCTCAAAAAAAAAGGAAAATATATCCTAGGGTGAGGATTAACAAAAATAATAAATGAATGAATGAATGAATGAATGAATGAATATTCAATAATGTATGCACTTCTCAATGTATATGCAGGTTGTTCCTATAAAGTTTTAGTTATTTAAGTTTAAAACACATTTCCTTATAGAAATAACTTTAAGGATTATAATCACCCTAGGCTGCTAGTTCATGATAGTTAATTTATTCCACCATAAATAAAATAACTATAGCTGGGAATGGGGGGGGATGAGGACAATTATGTGATACCATAATCAATAAAGAAATTTTTTTTAAAAAAATTAAAAATTTAAAAAATAAAATAACTATAGCATGCCTGGGCTCTTAAAGGGGGTGTTGGATTTTAATGGCATCTTTGACCATTTGCTTCAAGGATGCTAGTAGCAATAGTTGTAGGGCAATGGGGGAAGGAGTAGAACACCAAAGATCATTGGTATAAGTTGTATTCAGCTGTTGAGGATAATTTGTAGCTAACTTGAGTATTATTCGTAAAAATGTATTGCTACAATTTAAATAAAACTTATTAAAATATTATAATTTGTCATACATTTTTTGGAATAAGATTTTTAAGTTATCTTAATACACTTTTGGTCTAGGACACCTAGAGATGGTGCGATTTCTTTTGGAAGCAGGCGCAGATCAAGAGCATAAAACAGATGAAATGCACACTGCTCTAATGGAGGCTTGCATGGTAAGATTGGTGAAATACATGAAATATATTTATATGTTATATAAATAATATATACTGTACATTGAGTGTCTTTTCCTTGGGCTCAAAAATTCTGTTTATTATAGACTTATTATGGAACAGAACCTCAGCTATCTTGAATTATCAGTAGTTTTCAGAGCCAGGTATACAACATTGACTTCTATTAAAAGTGCTTTCTGAAGCTTCACAGCATTACCTTAATTTTCTTAGGCTCACATAACTATACTGGTTTTATGTGCTTGGCACAAAAAGTGACTTTTTTTTTTTTGTAGTTATTGTATTTATTTATCTTTTATTTTGCTTTTAAATCTTTATTGATGAAAGTTTTATATATGTCCTTCCACGCCCCCCCTTTGATCCCTTCTAGCCCATCCTCGCCCCAAACCTTCACCACACTATTGTCTGTGTCCATGGGTTATGCATATATGCATACAAGTTAAAAGTGACTTTTAAGAAGGTTGATCAATTATATTAAAGAGGAGAAAATAAATCACAGAGTATACACATATTACTAAGCATAACATGTTCATGAAACCAGTAATTTTATTTATGAGAAATTTGAAATTAGACTAATATTTGTGTTATATTTTCCCCTCTCTGTTATGGTTTTTCTGGGACCTGAGTTCCTTTTGTAAGAACTGTTTTAGTATTTGTATGTGGGGATGGGTAATAATAGTACTCTTAAACTTCTATATCTCAGTCTATGATTTGTGGCACAGAAATAGATCAAAGTGACGTTATAGCCAGATTGATGAGAAAAAGATGCCCAAGATAGATAAAGCTTCAAATTAATTTGAAGTTTCTGTTCTCAACTTCCCTTCAGAGAATGATTATTAAAAGGTTGTTAACTTCTAATTACTAATTTAAAAATATTAGGTAGCCATTTAAGACTTGAGTTATCTTTGTGTGTGTTTTTACTGTTGTGGTTTTTATTGCCATGCCAGTGTTTGCTTTAGTGAATTATTCTTTTAAACAACAAAAGTTTTCTCCGAAGCTTTTGAAAAACTTTATAACCGTGGTTTTGAACTCTATATCCAATCTTTTGTTCTCCTCCATCTCTTTCGTTTGAGATCTATTTCCTTGTCGCTGCATTTTTGCTGCTTCCCAGAGTTGGTAGGATCGCTTTGTGTGTTTGGTGTCCTATATGGCCCAGTGGGTCAGCCTCCCCACTTCAGGTAGGACACTCTTGGTGCTCCCCTTTGTGTACTGTGCGTACAGCCTTGTTGTGGTTAAGTCTTGATTGTTGTTGGTATCACTGGGAGGAATTGACCTCCAGGCCACTTGGATGTGAGTATAGCTGTGTGTACTCCGGGATACCTTCTGTATTGGAGACAGTCTTATAGGATCAGACTTGCAAAATTGCAAAAGCCTCTGTGCTCAGTTTGGATGGGGCAGACTCTCAGGGCTGAGCTGACAGTCTTGGCTTCCCGTCAGCCCTGCTCTTGGGCACGTGCCTCAGACCTCTGCCTTCTGCGGCTCCCCTGAGTGTCCACCTGACTGTCTAGATTCCCTGTGCAAGAGCGTAGGTGCCCCAGAGGCTCTCCCGGAATTGGGTTGGGTCTCTGTAGTCTGGAGCTTCTGACTCCTTCTGCTATAGAGAGGCAGCAGCAACTTCCGCGGTCAGACCTCTGCGCACACTCACTCCCACGTGACTAGACTCTGCCCTCTGCGGCTCCCGGCTCCCCGGTCTCCCAGTTTCTGAATCTCCGGGTGCCTTTCTCTACAGTCCAGACTCCACCTGTATGAGCCTGGGTCCACAGATTTTGGCCGGGGCTGGGGTTCAGTGCAGTCTGGGGCTTCCTTTCCCCTCCCGCCAGCCAGGCATCGGCCGCCCTTTCTGTGCACGAGCGTCTCCCTACCTCAGCACTTTGCAGCTCCCCTGATCTATGAGCCTTTCTCTTTCTTTCTGGCTGTACATTTCTCACTCTGCCAGCTTTCCTGTGGTTTTAGATGATGTCTGTTCTGTCGTTTAGTTGTTTTGAAATTGTTGTGCGAGGCGGCAGCTTAGGTACTTTGGTTTCTCTTCTCCAAAGCTTTTGAGTTCCTTATTTTCTATGATGAGAAATAATACCTTTCTCTGGGGTTGTTATGAAGATTAAATAAGATAATACGTGTAAAACATCAATAATATCCTCATGATAAGGAACTTAAAACATGTGCCACTCCCACTAGAGAAACAATCCAAAATAGATTAAGAAATTAAAATGGACCGTTCTGTAGATCTAACCAGTAGGCACTGGAAGTGTTATAAGTAGGTGAAAGATATTAGTAGGAGTCAAGCAATGTAGAATTTGACTGTGGAGGGAGAAAATTCTGAGCTGGAGGAACACCAAAGTAACCTTAGTAATAAGACATTAAAGTGATATCATATGGCAAACACAGAGGCAAAAATGAGTATGACATTAAAAAAAAGATGAAATGCCTCTGAGGTAATACATAGAAGGTAAAAGTATATCAAAGGAAACAAAAATAATGGAAAGAGGAACCTTGGAGTTGCTAATAGTTAGGAAACCTATGGTAAAGGGGATAGAAGATAATCAGAGAGCACTTCTTTTTTTTCTTCTTCTTAAATTTTTTTTGGCATTTGAATGTTGAACAACAAATGCATATTGTGTTTCCTTTCCCCTAACACATGCACAATTCTCCCACTCCTAACAGTGTTGCATTTTTCTTTACCTAAACTTAAAATTGCTTGTTCTTAAGGTTTCTACAAAAAATTAAACTTTTGCTTTCTAATCTTTATCCTTTTAGCATTCAAGTTTATACCATGCAGTGTTGATGGTATCTTATAGTAGACTCTTGTTACATGTGCTTACTGTTTTTTCCCCCCTAATGGTTAATAAACTTTGATTGAATGCATCATTTTCCTGCATATTTTATATCCTCAATTTCTGTTTTCAACTCTATATTGAAGAAATATAGATAGGTCTTAATAATAATTGCTTACTCAGCTGTTAAGTATATATTAATTTTTATTTGAATGGAGATCAGTAAGTTTCATTTGTATAATAAAGAGAAATGTTCATATTTTTAAAGTTTCTTTAATGGTACTGATTTAATTTTTTAATTGCATTGTAATTAGGATGGCCATGTTGAAGTTGCTAGGTTACTTCTTGACAGTGGTGCCCAAGTGAACATGCCTGCAGATTCATTTGAGTCACCATTGACATTGGCTGCATGTGGTGGGCATGTGGAACTTGCGGCCTTACTTATTGAAAGAGGAGCTAGCCTGGAAGAGGTCAATGATGAAGGTTATACACCATTGATGGAAGCAGCTCGTGAAGGACATGAAGAAATGGTGGCATTACTGCTAGGCCAAGGTAACCATTCCAATTAAGACACTAAAACATAAATGTGTAAAATGTAAATTATAATTTTATAAAATTAAATTCAGTATTTCATCTTTCTAATAGATTTGAAATGAGGATTGTCACAAAAACAAATGATAAAATATTTGCTTTGAAAATGGCTTTTATACTATGCTCAACAAAATCAAATGGATTTTTTAAATATACACTTTCAGAGTCATCAGGTGCTGTGTTTTTAAAAACAGAACTGGTTCTGGTCAGTGTGGCTCATTTGTTTGGAGCGGTGTCCTATACACCAAAAGGTTGCAGGTTCACTTCCTGGTCAGGACACATACCCAGTTTGCAGGTTCAATCCATCTATAGGAGACAGCTAATAAGTGTTTCTCCTACACATGGATGTTTCTCTCCCTCTCTAAAATCAATAAAAACATGTCCTCAGGTGATTAAAAGAAATAAAAAAACCAAAACCCACAATAGAGAAGTGGAGGTGGGGTCCACTAATGTAAGAAAATTTCAAGCTTAATGTAAAAAAATTTCTCTTGGGGTAGGATATCTGTTAATATTTCATATATCTATTGTTTCATGAAACAATATGAGAAATCCTGTCATAAAAATTAACTTGATAAAAATGCTAGAATGTGCATATACAAAGGTGTCGAAGAGCCCAATACGCATGGAGTTCTCTTGGGAAAAATAAGAGTTACTTTATTGTATTAAGATACCTTAAGTTTAGACTCTACTGTTATCAATCGTAATGTAAATATCTGTGTTTTCCGATGGTCTTAGGCGCCCAGCTAGCGGCTCTCAACCTGTGGGCCACACAGATATTTACATTACGATTCATTAACAGTAGCAAAATTACAGTTATGAAGTAGCAATGAAAATAATTTTATGGTTGGGGGTTACCATAATGAGGAACTGTAATACAGTTAAAGGGTTGCAGCATTAAAAAGTTGAGAAACACTGGTTTAGAGTAATCTCCCATCTCTATCCATACTTTTAGTCTAATTTTTATATTCATTTTAATAGTAAAGTTTTTGTTTGTACAAATTTTAGAGGAATGGCACATTATATTAGAATCTTTTTATTGAGGTAATATTGACTAGAAATTTAAAAATATGGTTTGAGCAGACTTTTTAGGTTTGAATCACAACTCCATTGCTGTCAATTTTGTTATTTAACCTGTGTCTTAATTTTGTCATCTTCAGGTTTTTTTTGAGAAAATATATATATATATATATATATATATATATATATATATATATATATATTTTTTTTTTTTTTTTAATTTATTTTTTTTAAATCATATAGTACCTGTTAAGTGTTAGCTGTAGTGATGTGGTAATAGTGATAATGTTAATGATAATGTTGTGACTTTGGACAAGTTAATTAACCTCAATTTTCTTAGGTGTAAATGGAGCTAATAATATGTATAATGCTTTCAATATTGCACCTGATTTGTACCTTCTGGCTGAATAAAGCTTGCTTCAGCTATGTACAACAAATATCCACCAACAAATATCCACTAGTGGATATGGTTTTTGATAGTTTATTTTTAACTGCTTCTCAGAGTAAGGGAGAGACACTTTATTATTTAGTAAAGTAACATATATTTACTTCACTTTTGAAGTATAGTTCATTAGGAAATATGTTTTGCTTATCTCTATAATAAGTTAATGACTTTCTTTAGGAGCAAATATCAATGCACAGACAGAAGAAACTCAAGAAACTGCCTTGACTCTGGCTTGCTGTGGAGGCTTTCTGGAAGTGGCAGATTTTCTAATTAAGGCAGGAGCTGATATAGAACTAGGGTGTTCTACCCCCTTAATGGAAGCTGCTCAAGAGGGTCATTTGGAGTTGGTTAAATACTTATTAGCAGCAGGTAGGCATTTTTGCATTTGGGAGGAGTTTTTTACGTGATTTAAGTAAAAATGTTATAATGCAAATAATTTTTATGATCTTATGGTACACTAATATGTGTGTGAAAAATGATGTGATAATATTTGTGAGTATTCTGAATAAATATTACCTTACTGTTGTTTAAGGCATCTGCAACTTAAATTTCAAACAGTGATTTTTTTTTTTTTTTCGTTTTGCTTGTAAAGATGCTGACAATATTCTCTGTTTTCTAGAAATTAATAAAGATACTTTGTCTAATTAGGGGTAATATGGCTTATCCAGAAGAAATTTCTGTGTCCTCATTTATATCTTACGATTGTTTTATTAAGTCTGTGCATTGTATAATACTGTTACAGGAGCTAATGTGCATGCAACAACAGCAACAGGGGATACAGCACTAACCTATGCCTGTGAAAATGGTCATACTGATGTAGCAGATGTGTTGCTTCAGGCAGGAGCAGATCTGGTAAGCTATGTTACATTTTAAATCCTAATATTTAATACAAAAAATTAATTTAAAATTTTATGGAGAATATAGACAAAAGGTATTTCTTTACTTCTGATTTTATGTTAGCTTTTTTACCATAATTATCTCATTTAGATAGGTTTTTTTCTTTCTACACCATTTGGTGTCTATTAGTATTTTCCTTGTTAGCAGGACTATATGATCTACTACCCCTCATTTCCCACACACACAAAAAAGGGAAAACCATGTGTTCGATATATTAGTACAAAATTATGTTCTCTTAGAGATTTAGCTATTTCTAGAAGCGTTTCTGATTTGGTATAAAAAAGCAAATATGGTTTAGAGGTAATTCACTGAACTTAGGAAAATTAATTGTTCTTAGACTACTCAAAGCATAATTAAATAAAAGAAACTTAAAAGATGTATATTTAATAAACAATATTTTTTCTCAAATAATTTTTAATTATTAAGAAGGATGAAAGCCATAGCTGGTTTGGCTCAGCGGATAGAGCACTAGCCTGTGTCACTGAACGGCCCCAGGTTCGATTCCAGTCAAGGGCACATGCCTGGGATAAAGACTCGATTCCCAGTAGGGCACATACAGGAGGTAGCCTATCAGTGATTCTTTCTCATTGATGTTTCTATCTTTCCCTCTTCCTTCCTCTCTGAAATCAATAAATTATATATGTATTTTGTTTTTTTAAGAAGGATTAAATATTGAGTTCATAATAAAGATCATAAAGAGATGTAATAGGGAAATTACAGAGAGTAAACAAGGTCGGAAGAGCTAAAGATGTCATCTGAGATTATATTTGGGGCTGGGTAAATTAAGAAAGATATGGTTACGTGACAAAAGAGACATTCTAGTTGGAAGAAATAGTATAGGATGGGTATAGCTTTGGAGGTAGAGAAGCGTAAAGCAGATGTGCATGGTGAAAGTAACTAGTCTTCAATTTAGCCCATGAGAGGCTAGAAGTGATGCATGAAAAGGTGGTTTTGGTTTCAATTAAAATGAATGCTCATATGTTCTTGGGATTGATATTAACAAATAAATGAGTTTCCCTGAAGAATTTCTTAGTTCATGACAAATTCTCGTACAGGCTGAAATGGGTTCCTCCATAATTAGTTTTGCAAACTTGATTTAACTTCTCCTTGAAAGGAGGGAGTTAAATTAGATTATTATTGTTTTCTCTTCCAGCTCTGCATGTGTTGGTAGAACTCTTAGAACACTTGTAACACATTATATTTCAATTAGTTGTGTGTATATTACTTTCTTATTAGACTTTGAGCTTCAGTTAGGAACTATATTTTTAATATTTAACACAGGGCTGTGAAACATGCAGCAGTGTAATATTGCTTAGTCCATTGCAATTGGAATAACCTAAAATATGGCTTAAGAGAAAACCCAAAAGTTGTTCAACAGATGTGAGTCTTAAAAATCCTATATAATAAAAGGGTAATAGGCAAATAAACTGAATGGTGAAACACCCTGTCACCATGATGTACATTGACCACCAGGGGGCAGATGTTCAACACAGTAGCTGCCTCCTAGTGGCCAGTGCACTCCCACAGGGGGAGTGCCACTCAGCCAGAAGCTGGGCTCACGGTTGGCAGGTGTAGCTGCAGTCTCCTGCCTCCTTGACAGTTCTAAGGACCCTTTTGGGGGATGTCTGACTACCATCAGGAGCAGGCCTAAACTGGCAATCGGACATCCCCTGAGGGGTACCAGACTGCGAAAGGATGCAGGCCGGAATGAGGGATTCCCCCCGTCCCCCAAGAGCACGAATGTTGTGCACTGGGCTTCTAGTACATATATAATATACTTTATATTGTCATCATTGGTGTTTCTCACCCTCTCCCTTCCTCTTCTGAAATCAATAAAATTGTATTTAAAAATAAAAATAAAATACGTTATCAAAGGTATTTTTCTCAAACCTGTATATTCTAAGATCTTAAAACATTTCCTGTAGCAGTCTCAATTACACAGCAATCACAAGGGTGCAACAGAGTCTCCATCCTTTTGAGATCTAGAAATCTCTAATAATATCTTATAATCAACTAGAGTCCCAGTACATGAAATTCGTACACTGGGATTGGGCCTAAACGGGCAGTTGGGTATACCTCTCACCATCCAGGATTGTTAGCTCCCAACTGCTCACCTGCCTGCTTGATTGCCCCTAACTGCTTCTGCCTGCCAGCCTGATCACCCCCTAACCACTCCCCTTCACCCTGATTGATGCCTAACTGCCCTCCCCTGCCAACCTGGTCCGGTCCCGTCCCGTCCCGTCCCCCTCAACTGCCCTCCCTTGAAGGCCTGGTCACCCTTAACTGTCCTTCCCTGTAGGCCTGGTTGTGCACAATTGTCCTCCCCTGCTTTGCTAGGTCCCCCTAATTGCCCTCATTTGCCCCTAACTGCCCTTTCTTGCCAGCCTACTCCTCTGCAAATGCTCTCCCCTGTGTCACCCTTAACTGCCCTCCCCTGCCAGCCTGGTCTCTTCCAACTGCCCTCCCCTGCAGGCATGATCCCTCCAACTGGCCTCCCCTATAACCCTTGTTCCCCCCATTTACCCTCCTCTGCCAGCCTGGCCCTTCCCCAACTACCCTCCCCTGCTGGCCTGGTGTCTCCCCCCACAAAAAAACTGTCTTCCGCTAAAGGGCTGGTTGCCTCTAGATGCCCTCCTCTGCCAGCCTGGTTACCCCTAACTGCCCTCCCTTGCAGGACTGGTCCCTGCCAACTGCCCTACCCTGCCAGCCATCTTGTGGCAGCCATCTTGTGTCCACATGGGGGCGGCCATCTTGTACCTTAGAGTGACGATCAATTTGCATATTACCGGTTTATTATATAGGAAAGATGATTTTAGAGTTAAGTTCCCTAGCCTTTTGTTTTTGTATAAGGTAAAGTAGAGATAATGGAAAACCAGAGAGAGATGTACTTAACTGAAGTTCATACAGATAGGATAAAAACTTATGAAACAAAAATCACTTGGAGTGGATGAGATTAATGCTAATAATGATCATTTCTAGAGAGCTATGCTAGAGTGCCATTCACTGTTCAGGTTTCACAATTCTTTTTGTAGAGAAAGAAGGAAAAATTACCCAGATGGATTTAAACGAGGACATCACAATCATTTGAATATATCTCTAGTTCTTAAATTATTTCTATAGGACTTGTTTTTAAATTTAGATTTATTAAATTGAAATATGTATTCCTTAATTTCCTTCAAAGAATGATGTTAAATATATTTAGATTCAGAAGTATCATGAGAAAGAATAATTGTTCACTAGCAATTAAATATCAATTATGTGTTTTTTTTAAAATAGGAGCATGAATCTGAAGGTGGAAGAACTCCTTTAATGAAAGCTGCAAGAGCCGGTCATGTTTGTACTGTTCAATTCTTAATTAGTAAAGGTAGGTTTGTGTAAAAATAGTTTTTGTTTTGTTTTTTAATCAAAGGTGTCTATCCCTGCACTCGGGTATTTAAAGATTGAGGGATAAAGGACATTTTTTTGGTATGCTGAGATTATGTGAGTGGCTATTTGATAAACATTCTGCAATACATAGGACAAGTCCAAACTATGAATGATCATGCTGAGTATTACTTTTGTCAAGAAACACTTGTATAAAAATTAAAAATTTCTATGTAAAACTTTAGGGTTTAGATAACTTACTAGTAAAGTCTGTTCTGTTCATGTAATAATATATCTTGAAATCTGGATTTTTAAATTTATGCCATTGATTAACTTGGTAAAAAAAAAAAAGAGAGAGAGAAAGAGAAAGTGTGAAAGGCTTTACACAATTAAAAAGGCAGTTTACCAAAGTATACTAAAGAAATGCACAGTTTGTAATTGTTTATACATAAAGACAAAAAAATCAGAAAAATCTTGTGATTAAATTATTTGAACACTTACATACTTGTGATGGATGTCTATACCATAATTTTTTCAAAAATAGGACATATTACATATTCAGTATACTCTTTCTTCTTTGCTTAATTTTAATGAATCCGACTTCAGCTTTTTCCTGGTATTTTATTACCATTTTCCACATTGCTTAGCACAGTGCTCCAAATCCAAGATGAATACTTGTTTTCATTCTCAGATATTCCCATTGGAAAAATTTATTATTACCTTTTATACCATGTTCATTCTCTACACACTTAGCTAGCTCTTGGTTTTTTATCCCCTTTTCTACTGAATAACTTAAAATGTACATAAAATTTCATTTTTTAATTTTTAAAAACTGATTATGTTAGTAGTATGTTCTTTTATTATCTTCTACTGGCACATACTGAAGTGTTTAGAGGTGAAATCATATCACGTTTGTCTGGGATTTATTTTGGAATATTCAAGATGGCAGAGGAGAAATGATGTATATATGAAATGAGATTGTCCATTTATAATCATTGATACTGGGTCATGGCTATATGGGGCTTTATTATACTGTTCTCTTTACTTTATGATTTTGAAGTTTACCATAATATAAGAAACCACACTCTAATAATATAATTTTCTGTCCCTTGTCTGTTTCAGGAGCAAATGTGAATAGAACTACAGCTAATAATGACCATACTGTATTGTCCCTGGCTTGTGCAGGGGGTCATCTGGCTGTGGTTGAACTACTTTTGGCTCATGGGGCAGATCCTACTCATCGTTTAAAAGTATGTAACTCATATGTTTCAAGTAGTACTGTGAGTTCTTTATTCTTGAATACTAGAAAATATCTACAAGTTGCATTTATAATGGCATTCTTAGTGTATTCATTTACTAAATCTATGATTTTTTTTGTATGTAGCTTTATCTTCCTTAAATAGATCTGTAAATTAACTTGTTTTTTTTTAATTAAAATTAAAATCAAATTTAATTAAAATTAAATTTTAAAGAAAATTAAAATGTTTCTTTTCCCTTCCATATCCACTCTTTTAGGATGGCTCGACTATGTTGATAGAAGCAGCAAAAGGTGGCCATACAAGTGTTGTTTGCTATCTTTTGGACTATCCTAATAACTTGCTTTCAACCCCTCCACCAGATGTCACTCAGTTAACCCCCCCATCCCACGATTTGAATAGGGTAAGACCGAAAACGAAAGCATTGTATATTATATAGTCTTTATTCCCCTATTGCTTAGAGTTTCAGTTTAAACTAGATTATTTTTTGTTTTGATAGGTAGTTCTCTTTGTAGATGTACTTGAAGTGGCTAATGAATATCTGGTATAATATGCAGATTCTAGGTTGATAGGGCTTTTTCTCTCTTGTAGCCAGAATAACCATTTGAATTTAAAATTCATAAATGTCATGAAAAATAATTGGGTATCAACATATTTTAAGTAAATATGTTATTGTCTGAGAATAAAGACATATTAAAAATATTTTGAAAAAATATTTTGAAGTAGTCTTTGTAACTCACTGTTCACTTAAAGCATATTATTTAGTGAGGTGTATAGGAAAAGCAGAAACATAATTACTTTCCTTTGTCTTAGGCTCCTCGTGTACCAGTTCAAGCACTGCCCATGGTTGTCCCCCCTCAGGAGCCTGATAAACCACCTGCCAATGTTGCCACTACACTTCCCATCAGGAATAAAGGTCAGTTATACTTCTAAAGACTCTCAACATGTTGTTGCGGTAAAAATGATAAGATTGCAAAAGCCTAGCCATTTAAAATTATTTTTGCACAAAATTGCACTTTATTGGCATAATTAAAAAAAATTTTTACCAATGAAAAAAGCTTATTGCGAGAGAAGATTAATTAATAGCATTCACTTGTGCTAGAATTACAAGTATTAGGAAAGAGGGATTCAGATGTTCATCTTTGATGCAATTCTAATTATCCATGATTTCCTCTAATAACTGGTCATTTCTATCCATGTCAAAATGTTAGGCTGGTTATTAGTTGATTAATGTTTTTTGTAAAATTAAATTTCTGTAGTGATTGAAGCATGAAATTGAAAAATTAGATTAAAATTTATTTTATAATAACTGGTATATATTTCATATCAGGAATATCTTTTCTCAACCAATAACTCAAAGTTACTTCAGATATGCTTGTTTGTTTCCCTAGAATTCTGGAGGTCCATATTTGACTTGTGGAATGTACACCATGCATGTTCATAAGTTATGTCCCAAAACCTTACAGCTACTAGTTTTAATCAGTTCTTCTTTTTAAAGAGTTTTATCTGAAGAACCAATTGTGGTTTTAATTTTTGGTTACCTATATTATTTTGCCAACAAGAATCCTAAGTATTTTCACCAGCTCTTTCCAATCACTATTACCATTATTGATTGCTGTACCTGTAGCCAGGTCTGTTTTTTCATCTGGCTATCAGAAGATACAGTGGATGGTGTAGTCCAACATCTTTTCTTCCAGAGAAACTGAATCCCAATTCTCTACTGGCCAGGTAGCTGTGGGAATATGTGAATTTATGTCTTGATTTTATCAGTCTTGAAGATGGTAGGCCCCAACAAAGACCTACTTTAGTTGGATTTTAATTTCCTGGCACCTCTCAGTGGTTTGGGTACTCTTTGTGTGTATGTGTGTATGTAAGGCACAACTATTAAATGTGGAAAAACCTTGACTTAGAGGTCTAAATTTTCCCTGCATCTTAATAGTTTAGCATTATTTTTTTATTCTTCTGATAAATTTTTACAACATTATGACCAGATTACACATATCCTTATATTTTATTTGAATTACACCCCTTAGATATTATAAACCTGCATTCCTTTATTGTCTAATTTTAGCCATGTGATATTTTAAAAATTCTAAAATTAATTTTCCAAAGATGACTCTAGCACATAAAATACATACATTTTATGTTTATGATAAAGAAGGTGAATTTGTTTTTAACTCCTTAACACAGTGCATTTTCACCTTCTATGGCTATGATAACTTGGTGCATAACTGTTGGCACTAAACCTCCCAACAGTAACTCTGTAATGAGGATGCCATTCATGTGCACTTCTGAGGGGGTTTCTTTTTTACACAGCTGCTTCTAAACAAAAGTCCAGCAGCCATTTGCCAGCAAACAGCCAGGATGTACAGGGTTACATCACCAATCAGTCTCCAGAGAGCATTGTAGAAGAGGCTCAGGGAAAGTTAACAGAACTGGAACAGAGGATAAAAGAAGCCATAGAAAAGAATGCACAGCTGCAGTCCTTGGAACTGGCTCATGCTGATCAACTTACCAAGGAGAAGATCGAGGAGCTGAACAAAACAAGGGAGGAACAAATTCAGAAGAAACAAAAGATTTTGGAGGAACTACAGAAAGTAGAACGAGAGTTACAACTGAAAACTCAGCAGCAGCTTAAAAAGCAGTATCTAGAGGTTAAAGCTCAAAGAATTCAACTTCAGCAGCAGCAACAACAATCTTGCCAACATCTGGAATTACTAACTCCTCTTGGAGAACAGCTTTCTGAAGGAGACTATGCACGATTACAGCAAGTGGATCCTGTTTTGCTTCAAGATGATCCCCAGCAGACTGCTGCTCAGATGGGTTTTGCACCAATCCAGCCTCTGGCCATGCCTCAAGCTTTGCCTCTGGCGGCAGGTCCATTGCCTCCAGGGTCCATCGCAAATCTTACCGAACTGCAAGGAGTAATAGTTGGACAGCCAGTACTGGGCCAAGCACAGTTGGCAGGGCTGGGGCAAGGAATTCTGACAGAAACACAGCAAGGGTTAATGGTAGCCAGCCCTGCTCAGACCCTCAATGACACGCTGGATGACATCATGGCAGGTGGGTTTATATTGTTATGAGCAGGTATCAAAATATGATTTGCTTAAGGCGAGTAAGAATGTGCCACAATTTTTTGCCATTGCCCAACTTGAGAACTATTTTTGGACTTTTGACCCATGTATATTGTTAGAAATATTAGTTCAATCTCAGAAGTTTTCAAATGGATACTGGTCAAATTAAAGATTAGTTCGTTCAATACAAGTGACTGAAACTCTGGCTTAGCTGAGTAGGATGGGAATCTAGGTTTTTCAGGAGTGGGGTTGATGTTTGATCTCTGGTTTTTGTTTTTGTTTTTTCTCTTTAAGTTCAGAATACTAAAATTGAATTTTATATTTTTTGCTTCTGTATTCACACCAATAAACTGGGAAATTAATAGAAGTTGAAGTGCAAAACTTAGTAGGATATCAGGAAGGTTATTTGTAACCAGAAATACTTAATATCCTAATGGATCAGACTTCAAACTTGATGGATATTAAAAAAAGAAAATTAAACCACCTTTACAACAATAATAACGTACCAAACCAAATAGGGTTTGATTATACTGTTTGTCAGTGATTTTATCCCCTGTGAATGTTAATGTGTAGTCTCTTTCTAATTGAATTATGAAGGTATGGTCGGGTTCCCTCACAGTATCATAAATCTCTTTAAATGTGTAATCAGAGAAGAAGAAGAAAAAAAAAAGAAAATGTGTAGTTAGAGAAATTTTATTTTATTTTAATTAGTTTCGTTGGAAAGAAATATTTTAGAAGATTGTTTTAATGGTTTCCGTTTTTGGTACCTACTTTTTCATAAATTCTGTGACAAACTAGTGCAATGAAATTTTACAGGATTATAAACCATAAGCATGTTATACTGAGACAGATCATTTTCTTCATTAAAAAAAAAAAAAGCTAATGAAAAAGAATATTTGAAGAAGAAGAAAGAAAAGGGAAAAACAAAGAGTTAAATAGTTCTTTCCCCCTTTTTACTCTTTGGTCTGTACTTTAAAAGAATGAATTTTTCTAATTTTGAAATTATATTTAGTAGCATTACATATTATGGTGAAATTATATGTAATTTAATGTTCACCTTTTAAAAGAATAAATTGTTAGCTAGCATCCAGAAACTAAGACACCAGCTAATGAGACAGGTTTTGTAAACTTAAAATCTGTCTAAAGTTTCCCTTTTAATATCACCTCACAGGTAATATACAGAATGGAAGTCTCTGCTAGTCTTACAGGGTACAATAATTATCTTCGGGGGTGGGGGGGTGGTATTAATCATTAAGAATTGTAAAGATTCTCTTGATAAGAATTTAAAATTTCTATAGATTTGAAAATTACTACTAATCACTATTAGCTGGTTATAATAATTGGGAATACAATTTAAAGGAATTAGGTATTTTATGAAAATTGGAGCGCAGTAGCCTCAAATTCCAAATTTGATAATTACTTTCTTAGTTATTAATTTAGATCATAGTGGTATTCTGTTATGTCAGTTGATCTAACAATAAATGTATAGAGTTAAGTGTTAGATTTCCAATTAAATGAAGAATGGACATTCTATATCAAAGAATATTTGATATTTTTTATGTGCTATCAGAATTTACCTGGTGTTCTTGGGCATAGTTGTCAACAGTGATTTGTCAGCTAGTTGTATGGTGTTTGTGATGATTAGAATTATTTGAGGTTTGTAAGGTAGTTTTTCTGTTGATTTTTTTTTTTCCAAAAACATTAGATTATGCCTATGTGTTCCAGATTTTTGAATTAAAAAAAAAAAAAGTAAACACATAACTTTTCAGGATATATGACAAATACTTGTCATATTATGAAAATACTTTACTTTTTGTTATGCTTATTTGCATAGTGATAGAAGAAATGGCAGAAAGAAGAACAGGTTTAAAAGCCCAGCTACCTGCGTGAAACCTATTCTGTCATCATGCGTGTGCACATGCATATAAACTCCTGCAGTCATTTCTGCAATCTTTCTTTAAAGTTTTGTGGTAGTACTTGTTCTTTCAGTTGACTAATGACTATTTTGTGTTTCTTAAAATCTTACAATCTCATTAGGCTCAATAGTCCTTCATTCAGCATAAAACTCTGTTCTTTTTCCCTTATGTCCCATTTATTAGACTGCTCTTAAAAGGTTCAGTATCTTTTTCTCTAGTACTTGGGTGGCCAAATTCTGTCCTCCCTGCCCTACATACTTGCCAAAGCAAAATCTGTTCTCTGTTTAACTAGTCTTAGTACCTTACCTTTGCTATGCTGTCAGGTTCCCTCTTTTCTTACCTGATATTAAAAATTTTCTAAAATTATGGTCTCCCTTTCTAAAATCTAACCCCAAATGTAAAGTCCCACATGTAAAGATCTGTACCAGAGTTTCTTAACATACCTAAATATTTATTCTAATTATTACTTTTAATTATAGAGAATGGATGAATGACAGGCAGTTATTTAGTTTTAAATAAGGAAATGAAATGAGGGAATTGTTTTTTCCTATCTCCTCTTAGATGAGGTAATAAGAATAATTTGACCAAAATTAAGAAAACTAATTTGAGAATGTTCTTTAAGGAACTTATTTCAATTGAAATGTAAAGAGCCATAAATTATATATTTTTGAAATTTATAAGTAGAACATGTACATTTAAATTACCTTGATTTTTAAAAAGTTAATGTACAAGCTATCAATGTGGAATATTAATATCAAGATCATTAGATGATCAATTAAGTATATTAATATAAGCCCTTTTCTATTGATCTGATTCCATAAGGCTTCAAAACAGTGTTTTGTGTTTTGATTTGATTTGTTTTGTTCTGTTCCCTTCTTTGTTTTTCCTTTGGCTTTTAAGTGGACTTAAAAAAATGTGTGATTTTAGAATGTGTGTTACTATAATGTATAGTACATGTTTGTGCCTGACCTAAGGACTTTTTGTAAAACAGATTTCTTCATTGACAATCATGTTTATAATTGTTATAAGATTGATTTTAGTTTTGTTTTTGGTGGGATTATAACCTCTTTTGCCTGGTTTCAGGTCCAGTGTGTATCATGATTGTTTTCTGTCTGATGTAGTTGATAACTAAGTTGGTAACATACATCTACACTACTGTTGATCATTCAAAGATTAATGCTCAAACTTTAGTGCTACAGCATTTTTAATAGGGGAAAAACGGATTGGTGTTCACATATCAACTCCAGAAGTGAGTCGATGCAGAAATACAATATCCTTAACTGCCACCACCTTTGGAGTTCTCTTACATCAAGTACTGACTTAAATTAGCTCCTCTCAGTTTACATCTTTTTGTGAAAATATCATGTGAAATTATACTTAGGGGAACTAACAATAATCTGTATCTGAAGAATGTTTGTGTGCGTGCATACATTTATTTCTACCCTAATCTTTTAATTTTTGTCCTTATATGTCAGTGTGATTGCTGGATTGATTGGTGGACATTTTATCCCCTCAGAATACTTCTACATGTGAGAAACTGTATTTCTGTGAGAGGATCAAATTTTTATATTTGACTATGCTGTCATAGTAAGGACTGCAATTCAGAATATAATTATCCCCCTCTCTGCAGTTAAATAGTTGGAAGCATTTTTAAATTATTGGATAGCAAGTTTCTTCCAAACAATGATATTACTTATATTAGTTATAGAATACAAGGTGTGGAATTGTCAGGTTAAAAAAAAAATCACATTCTTCTTCTGAACATGGCTATTTTACCTTTTATTCCTTTTCTGACTAGGAAGGTACAATGGACAACTTAATCCATTTGCATTTATATTTAATTTACATTCATAAAAATATTTTTGTTTTCAGGGTTATTTTGGATTAAGGTTTTATGATTACATACCATAAGAGAGGAATTTGTTTTTCAGATGATTAATTAGAAAATGGGTTACTCTCAGTATATATTATAATTTTGGAATGTTTTCCAAAGTCAGAAATAACCAGGATAATGAGTTACTAGCGCTGTGGCAGTCTACCAATAGACATTCTGTTTTTTAAAGAAGTCTATAAATATTTTCCAGTAATTATTTCTTACTCTTACCTAACAATGTTTTATCCTTATTAAGTGCAGTTATTTTGTTCAACAGCAGTCAGTGGAAGAGCATCTTCAATGTCAAACACTCCTACCCACAGTTCTTCTACTTCCATTTCCCAACCTTCGACTCCAACTCCAACTCCAAGTCCCATCGTCTCTCCTTCAGGCATGCTTCCTATCTATCCTGCCATTGATATTGATGCACAGGTAAGCTTCAAATGATGGAACTATATCTTCATTAGACACATTAATCAGTGATTTAAATGATCTTAGAATGTTTTGTCTCTGGGCAGAGACTTGAACCACAATTCGAAATAAATTATAATTTACATTAAAAAATAAAAATAAAAACAGCCCTAATCAGTTTGGCTCAGTGGACAGAGCTTCGGCCTCTGGACTGAAAGGTCCCAGCTTCGATTCTGGTCAAGGGCATGTACCTTGGTTGCGGGAACATCCTTGGTAGGAGGTGTGCAGGAGGCAGCTGATCGATGTTTCTCTCTCATCAATGTTTCTAACTCTCTATTCTTAAAATGGTCATACCTTAAACTCCTTGAATTGATTCAGATGCTCAGGAACTAATATTTTTTAACAAGAATTAGCAGAAATTATGCTTAATTCCCGAACATTGTTAAATGCTTTAGAGAGGAATTTACATTTTTTATAAGATTCCTCAAATTTTTAGTTATCTTTTATAACTAAAAATAACCTCAGGTGTGCAAGTGTTTACCACGGGCTTTTCAACTCGCATGTAATGGTTTATTGAAGCGGGTGTGAATATTTTCAGAATAAGATTGATACCACATTAAAATTTATTTTAGGAAATATTCATAAATGATAGTTTGTAAGAATTACTTGGGCTGTTTTACTATAACTTTTGACAGCATCCTTATCAATTTGAGCTGGGGTTAGGTCTCTGTTTGGGGGAAAAGGAGGGAAGTAGAAACCTTATTTCAAAAATTATTTCATTCTTGCCCTGGGTGGTATGGCTCAGTTGGTTGGGTATCAGTCAAGGGCACATACTGGGATTGCAGGCTCTATTCCTGGTACAAGGCATGCAGGAGGCAGCCAATAGATAGTCTCTCCAATCAATGTTTATCTTTCTCCCTTCCCCTTTCTCTAGACTGTTCTTTAAAAAAAAAAAAAAAAAAAAAAGATTATTTTGCCATGATTGTTTTTTCTCGGTGGTTATAGCATCAGTCTGCAGGTTCAGTTCTTGGTCAAGGCTACAAACTTAGGTTATAGGTTTGATCCCTGGCCCTGGGGTTAGCACACATGTGAGAAGTAACCAATTGATGCCTCTGTCTTTCTTTTTCTGTCTTTCTCCTTCCTTTCCCTTTCCGTCCCTCCATTCCACTCTCTAAAAATCAATGGGAAAAATAGATCCTCAAGTGAGGATTAACAAAAATAAACTTCTTTCATTCTTATCTTTAAAAGATTGCCACAGATGCTATACAGTGCATTACCCACTCTTAAGTTCCCCAAGGAATTTGACCAACCCTCCTTTCTCAGGTTTTAATATACAATTTCTTCAAATCTCAAAATACATTGTTCAATATTTCTCCCATAGTATGAGCCACTACATTTGCCCTATATAGTAATCAGTAAATTTCTAATGATCAGGGTCAACCCTAGAGTACTTAGCAGAGTACTTTGATATAAAAGGTAGTTAATAAATATCAGTTGAAATTATATTTTATAATTGATTTAAAAAACCAGTATATTATTGGCAATCCCCTAAAATTTTCATGCTTATCTTTTTCAGATTTTGTCTCTTCATTCTTTATTTTTAAGATTGATACCAATTTCTTAAATTACTCTTTAATCTTTAACCCTAAGAAGATTTTTAGGAACCTCATAAACTTTATAAAATTGAGTCTTCTACTCATTGAGAGTACATTAAGACAGATGGGCTTATGTTACATTCACCTTAGTTGTGTTTTAGCTGTGATGTAATAGAAAAGCAGGATTTTGTGTGACCGTCGGAAAGTTGTTATCTGAGTCTTTGTCTCCTTTTCTCTGAAATCAGACAATAATTTCTTCTTATAAACCTGAAATGAAGATCAAATACTTTCACAATCAGAGTTGTCACTCATTTAAGTATTCATGTCCTTCTCCGTTGTTGTAGTTGGTGCATCTCTCCCTTGTGGCCATACCTGATCTTTGCAGTCAGTAGCTCTGCTCTCTGCCAGCCTCTTCTGCAGAGCAGCTTTTGCGGTCTCCCTCTTCATCACTGACTAGTAGGCTTTTCTTATTTCTTGAATCTATCAGTTTTGTCTTTTATCTTGTTATTCCTTTTTTTTTTTTTTTTTTTTTTGTAATGGAATTTGATTTTTAGAGCTATTGACCTTTTGGGAGAATATGCTTTTCCTTTTAATATTTATTACATAAATATAATAAATTGTATATAAATACACAAATACATTAAATACAGTGTATTTCATATATACAGAGTGGGGCAAAAGTAGGCACAGTTGTTTGTATGGAAAAAAGTAGGTTTTCAGTTGTGAGTATCTGGAATGCAGAGTTTATTTTTATGTTAACATTTACTAATTTATTATTTTTCACATGAACAACTGTAAACCTACTTTTGCCCCACCCTTTATAATCCTTTATTTCATTAGTAATAGTCTTCGAATGTGTGACCCTATTGCCATTCATTTAACTTATTTTTTTTCCCCCTAACAAAGCAACAATTATAGATGGAAACTACAGACATAAATAAGACATGTTTATTACTTTCTAGTTATCAATAGTCTTCTGAGGGTGATAGACACATAATTAATGTTAGTATAAGTAAGATTGGCATTAAGTGCAATAATAGGGGTACATGTGTAAGATGTGTTAGAACAGCGTTGTATAATAGAAAAATAATGTAAGACATATATGTAATTTAAAGTTTCCTAATAGCCACATTTAAAAAAGCAAACAAATAGGTGGAATGAATTTTAAGAATATATTTTAACTTTACATATTCATAACGTTGTTATTTAAATATGTAATCAATATAACAAATTGTTACTTTACATTTTTATTTCATACTAAAATCTTCCAAATTTTGTGTGAATGTTACATACAGCTTAAAGTAATAAAGTAAGTCAGTCCCAAACTAGTCAAGGTGTTTTGTCACCCTATTTAGAAAATATCTCAACTTGGACTTCATTAGAAATACTTGATTTGTACTTTAGTTTGATTAAGTAGATTGCATAGATTTGATTAAGCTGAAAAAGTAAAGTTATATACTCACATTGCTCCAGGCATGTACTAAAAAGCTTTCTAATAACCAAATCAAATATCAGTTTTAAATTTTATTATAAATTAGATAAAATTTAGTTCCTCATTTACACTGTATATGTTGCTAGTAGTTACCTTTTTTATATCACACAAATTAGAATACTAAAAATATGAGGACTTTGTTAGTTCGCTAAATAAACATTTCGAGTATGGTAGAGACGACACCTGGCTAATCCATTATTGGTTACTATCATTAGCAGAAGTCAAAGATCAACTGTGTATAAATAGTGTCCTGTCTCAATTATTATAGTTTTTCTTTCCAAATACTCTTTATTTTGTATTTTTTTTAGTCCTTTAGGTATTTGGGGGCTTTGTTCTCTAATGCGGTAAAGTTCTGTGGAAAAATTTTTTGCAGTATAAGGTTTGATTTCAACTTTTTAAACTGGGTTCAGAACAGTTAATATAACCTTACTGCTGAGGATTTTACTTAATATCCTTTGTGTTTTGAAGTCTTTCAACTCTGGCTGGTCGGAACCAAACTATTCCTGACCCTGTGTAAGCTCTGGGTGTTTTTCAGCCTGATGATACCTTCTGGTGGTCTTTCCCTGACTTCATTCATATGTGCTGATCAAAACTCAGCTGAAGACTCCAGAGAAACCCTCTACAGATCTCTGTAATTTTCATTCTCTGTAGCAATTTCCTCTCCAGGATTCTGCCCCAGGACGTTCTAGTCACCTTAACCTCTACAAACTCTGTGTTCTCAACGCAGGGAGATTGCCAGGCTATGTTTGAATACCCTCTTTCTGCACTGCAGCCTGGAAACTTGAGGCAACAAATTAAGTAAATAATTTCTGTCTTTAGGGATTACTGTCACATAACTGCCATTAATGGCTGGAATCAAAAGTGAGTCCACAGTATTTCTTTTACTTGTGGAGCTGAAAACATCATGTTGTTGAAAATCATGCTGCTTTTCTTCATGTTTGCTTCAAGAATTGCCCATGAAGTTCAAATATTTGAAGCCTTTTAAAAAAGTCACAGGTTGATCACTAATGGAAAAAAGACATCTTACTATTCAATGTTTGCTATAGTAAAGTGATACATATCTATTTGTGTGTATTTGGTACATGTATAGATTATGGAATTGATGTTAACATTTTAAAATTATATACTGAGCTAATCATAAAATTAATTTTTTACAGACTGAAAGTAATCATGACACAGCACTAACACTTGCCTGTGCTGGTGGTCATGAGGAACTGGTACAAACATTGCTAGAGAGAGGAGCTAGTATTGAGCACCGAGACAAGAAAGGTATGGCCAACTTTTGTTAATACTGTTTTCTTCTGGAATATTTGTGTTTTGTGAAGAAATACTACTACTTCTAGGTCTATTTTGATGGAAAATAGTATTGTTCCTTTGCTTAGTATGTAGTGAGATCATTATTTTTCTCCAGGTTTTACTCCACTCATCTTGGCTGCTACAGCTGGTCATGTTGGTGTTGTGGAAATATTGCTGGACAATGGTGCAGACATTGAAGCCCAGTCAGAAAGAACCAAGGACACACCACTATCTTTGGCTTGTTCTGGGGGAAGGCAGGAGGTAACAATTTCTCCAGTGTAACTTTTTCTCTCCATCTATTTAGTAAATTTATGCCTTAACTTTTATGATTATATGGTAACAATCGATTGACATTTGGATTTATCACGAGCCTGAAGCATGCCTTCTCTATGTGACTCCACTATTCCTAAATCTGGTCTTGAACTCCTGGGAAAAGTTTTATATTATCTTACATCTTCATATATTTGAGTCTATATATTTGCTAGTCTGTTTATTATCATTTATTTGTTATTTTCCAGTTAGTATCTTAGGATATAGTTTAATAGTAAGAGCAAGGGTATGAGTTATGATCTTAAACAATCCTTTATTTCTGTGTCTTATTTGTAAAAGGAAGATGAAAATATTAGTACCTGTTGTAAGACTTCTTTGGTACATTAAGTGACATAATGGCCAAGAGATTTATAAATGGCCAATAAACCTTTAAATGCTAAATATTTTTGGCTATTAGAGAATGCAAATTAAGATGCAACCATACAGCCACTAGAATGGCTAAAATCATCAAGACTGATGATACCAAATGTTGCCAAGGGTGTGGAGCAACCAGAACTCACTCATTGTCTCTGAGAGTGTAAGCAGTACACCCACTTTAAGCAGCTTTATTCAAAATCTCAAAAACTAGGAATGGCAAAGTTGTTCATCATTGGGATAGTAGATAGCTTATCACATATTCATTTAATGGGATGTTACACAGTACACACAAATGACTCTCCAACACTGATTTCATGTATATGAAGATCTAAAATAGATTAATCTGTCGGTGGGATTGACTGGGAAAGGGGATGAGTAAATAGCAGGAATTTAAATTACATTATGTTTATGAATGTCAGTATTCACTGAATGTACACTTAAGTTTTGAGTATTTATTGTTTCACCTAAAAATAATTTACGTAAAATTTTGCCCAGAAAAACTGAAAATAAGTACATAAAAGTCTAGATAATGATACACTTGCTGATGTATGTAAGAAAAATGGCAAATGTCTGCAATTTACTCTAAGATGAAATGCAAAAAACAAAATGAAGAAATATGAAAAGTAAGTATAGTAGAATATTATTTGTAGAATCTAGGTGGTGAGATTTTAAAGACATTTACATGCCTTTTTTTTTTTTTTAACCACTATTTGGTAGAATAGCACAGAAATACTATTTCCAAAATAGCATTGTACAACACATGAGATCCAAATTTCATGAATATAATGCCGTTTCAACAGATTCCAAAGTGGGTTTTCCTTGCAAAGCTTCTTTTTGGTTTCTAAGACTTCTTGCTATCATTTTAGACTGAGTTTGTGCAAAACATTAAAAAGGTTTTTCCTTTTTTTGTTATACATTGACCAGAACACAAAAAGAAATTAAGATGCCCAGGTTTCAGAATCCATCCTCATTGGGGGCATACAGGAGTCAGCCGTCAATTGCTCTCTCTGAAATTAAAAAAATAAAAGGTTAAATATGTACCTTGGAAATTGTCTCACTGTTAAAAAAAATCTATTTCTCCCTTCTCCCTTTTCTCCCCCTCCAGGTGGTGGAGCTATTGTTAGCTCGAGGAGCAAATAAAGAGCACAGGAATGTTTCTGATTACACACCTCTAAGCCTGGCTGCTTCTGGCGGCTATGTGAACATTATCAAAATATTACTAAATGCAGGAGCCGAAATTAATTCTAGGCAAGTTTTATTCTTTCTTTATAAGACCCTTAAAAGTGTGTTAAAATGGTATTTGTAGAATAATTATCTTATTGTTATATTAAAAAAGGAAATGCCTTCATTACAAGTTTAGAATCTAAATTGCTAGAGATTAAGATTAATTTTATTTACATATTTAAAACTGTTGACATAGAACTTGAAAAACTATCAATTACTGTATTTCTTATGGTACTAAAAGTAAATACATCTTAGGAGCTTTTATTAAGCAAGTATGTGTTTTAATCCAGCGCCTTAGACCGCTCGGCCACGCTACCCATATGCAAGTATGTGTTTTAAAATGGAAAGTCCATCTTAATAGTCTTAATGATTAAATAATTATTTTTCAGCCCAAGTCATTATGTTGAATGATACAGAAAGTATTCTAGATCTGGGTAGTAAAATATTTCTAATGGTATCTTAATATTATCACAAAGAAGTATTTTAGACTAGGGCTAAGAAAAAATGATTACAGTATTTTAAATAATTCTGCAAAATAAAGATTCTTAAATATATCCTGAAATAGCCGGGACCGATTTGGCTCAATGGATAGAGCGTCGGCTTGGGGACTGAAAGGTCCCAGGTTCGGTTCCGGTCAAGGGCATGTACCTTGGTTGCAGGCATATCCCCAGTAGGGGGTGTGCAAGAGGCAGCTGATTGATGACTCTCTCTCATCGATGTTTCTGACTCTCTATCTCTTCCCTTCCTCTCTGTACAAAATCAATAAAATATATTTTAAAAAATATATATATATATATATATTTTCTGAAATAGAATTTTATATTGCCATCCAGTTATTCTGGAACATTTAAAATGTTTATTTTCTGTTTTGTCTTCCTCTACCTCTACCCCCAGAACTGGTAGCAAATTGGGCATTTCTCCTCTGATGTTAGCAGCTATGAATGGGCACACAGCTGCAGTTAAACTCCTGTTAGACATGGGCTCTGACATAAATGCTCAAATAGAAACCAATCGGAACACTGCCCTTACCTTAGCCTGCTTCCAAGGAAGAACTGAAGTGGTTAGTCTTCTGCTTGATAGAAAAGCAAATGTGGAACATAGAGCTAAGGTAAGAAAAAGTTCAAAATTTGTACATGGATTTATTGGTTTGATATTTAAGGTGTCTAGTAGCAATATGCTAAATATAATCTTAGTATTTGCTAGTAACATTTATCACTCTGTAGAACTCATTCAAACATTAACTCTTGAAAATACCTCAACAAATTTAGAGTTAATAATGACATTAGAATTTCTAGCTGAAAATATGTACCATTATGAAAGAGTTATAAAGTACCATTATGAAAGTACCATAAAGTACCATTATGAAAGTGCCAGTTATATGTCAAATGCTTGCTTGCATCTTACAGATTTTTTTCCCAACAAATTATCATTAGGTAGAATTATCTTCTTTTAATCACATTATAACTCAGAGAACCTAGCAGTGTTTAGTGTTGAAATTTAGTTGTGAGTCTTTGTAACATATTATATTGCTCTCAGATTTTTATTATTTAACATTTTAGCTCTCCTTTTTCTTATGCGTTGTTTTTTATTTTTCACTAAACTTAGACTGGACTCACACCACTAATGGAAGCTGCCTCTGGTGGATATGCAGAGGTGGGCCGAGTTCTTTTGGATAAAGGTGCTGATGTTAATGCCCCTCCAGTGCCCTCTTCAAGAGATACAGCTTTAACCATAGCAGCAGATAAAGGACATTATAAATTCTGTGAGCTTCTCATTGGCAGGTATGATGTTACCATACCCTTCATATGTGACTCTGGTGTTACTAGTGATTAATGTTCTCTCTGGACATTGTACTATTAAGAAATCAAATATGACTGCTGAAACCGGTTTGGCTCAGTGGATACAACGTTGGCCTGTGCACTCAAGGTTCGATTCCAGTCAAGGGCATGTACCTTGGTTATGGACACATGCCCAGTATGGGGTGTGCAGGAGGCAGCTGGTCAGTGTTTCTCTCTCATTGATGTTTCTAGCTCTCTATCCCTCTCCCTTCCTCTGTAAAAAATAAATAAAATATATATTTTTTTAAAGATTTTTAAAAAAAATCAAATATGACTACTTTTATAAATTACATGTTTTATTTTTTAAACCTACCTCTTATTTTCCACCCATCCAGAGCTATGCTATGTTGATTTATTTCAATGCAACCTAGAAATATTTCTCTTCCTTTCTTGTGTGTGAGTACACACTTTTAAAGAACTGTAATAAGCTATCTGAATATCCAGCTCTTGTCATCCACATTTACATTCCCAAAGTTTGAGTTTTACAAAGAGTACCACTTCAGGTCCTAAAAGTCTGGCAATAATCTAAGTCTTCATTGTTGATTTTCTTGTTCTTTATAGTAACTTGGGCTTTTAAATGACAGTTAAGGTACTCTTCCAAGTTATCGGAAAATATCCTGGATCATTTCTACTGTCAGTGACTTAGAAGTTACCTGCCAGTTTTCCAAAATGCTTGCCTGTTTAATTGGATTTCCTAAAAACCTGTGCATGGTGTTTTAAGAAGTAGTAGTTAGTAGTACTAGCTACTAACAACTATTATTATTCACTGTGAATTTTATCTATTATTATGCCCAATGAGTTCTAAACCTACATGTTATTCTGAAGCTAAATACAAATACATGAATACACATAATCTGAAACTGATTCAGTTGCCTTATAGATACTATTTGTATTTCTAGGATACTGTTTATTTAATATATTGATTATGATATTAAGATGATATACTTTTATTTTTCACTAAATTTCATGTTTTTTGGGGGTTTGAAACTCATAATTATACCAAGTCATTATCTATATATCTATATATATGAAAGCCTTATATGGAAAGTGTCCCCTTGGGAGTTTGACCAGGAGATCGATCGCTTGCTATGATGGCGCTGTCCACCAGGTGGGAGCGCGGGACAAAGGAAAGCCCCTGCTGGCGACCAGCAGCCAGGGAAGGGAGGCCCCAGCCTGCAGCTGCCCATGCACTGGGCCTCTAGTCTTTAAAATAAAAAGTAATTATTGCTATACCATTGTTTTTAAATTTGACAACTGGAAATTCTTTGTAATGTTATTTTGAGAGAAAAATTTTAGTCCTTGAATATTAAAAATTTTTTAGTTTTACAAAATATTTTCACAAATTAATAGCTGGTTGTTATTGTTAGCTGTGTCATTTCATTTTAAACAGTGATATCTGTGTCATTCATCTAGGGGAGCTCACATTGATGTGCGGAACAAGAAGGGGAACACTCCATTGTGGCTAGCAGCAAATGGTGGGCACCTCGATGTGGTTCAGTTATTGGTGCAAGCAAGTGCCGATGTGGATGCAGCAGATAACCGCAAAATAACTCCTCTTATGGCAGCATTTAGAAAGGTAGACGTCTTTTACCCTCATTCACATGGATGTTTTTCGTTCAGGCTAGAAATGCATAGTTTAATGATCACTAGTCTCTCATTTTTAGGATTTAACAACAGTGATGAAAATCATAAAATTAAAGCAAATAATCACTCTGATGGCAACATTGAAAGGTAGATTTAATCCATATAGAACATAAAAGCTACTTTTTGAATCAGTTTGGTTCAGGGGCTAGAACGTTGGCCAGTGGACTGAAGGTTCCTGGGTTCTGTTCCTGTCAAGGGCATGAACCTCAGTTGCAGGCTCGATTCCCAGCCCTGGTGAGTGCACGAGGCAGCCCATCATTGTGTCTCTCACATCTGTCGCGCGCACCCTCGCTCTCTGTCTCTCTCTCTCTGTCTCTCTCTCTCTCTCTCTCTCTCTCTCTCTCTCTCTCTCTCTCTGTCTCTCCCCTTCCTTTCCACTCTCTAAAAAGTCAATGGAGGAATGTGCTCTCTGAGGATTAACAACAAGAAAAATCATTTAAGTATAAAAAATTCAAAGTATTTTCAGAATCTAGGTATAAACTAATATTGCACAAAATGTAAATTCAAGTAAGAGTAAAAATTACTTGTTTATGAATATTTTCTTATATTAGCACAACATTTAAAAATTTACCTTAAATCTATTTTATATTTATCATTGACTTTCATTACTAAGGAAAAAGGAATTAAGCCCTGACTGGTTTTGCTCAGTGGATAGAACATTGTCCTGCACACTGAGGAGTGGTGGGTTCCATTCCTAGTCAAAGGCATGTACCTGGGTTGCAGGTTCAATTCCCAGCCCAGAAACATTGGTGTGTGTGTGTCTCTCTCTCTCTCTCTCTCTCTCTCTCTCTCTCTCTCTCTCTCTCTCTCTCTCTCTCTCTCTCTCTCTCTCTCTCTCTCCTATTCTGTCTAAAATATCAATGGAGAAATGTCCTTGGGTAAAGATAGTGGGGTTAAAAGAAAGAGAGAAAAAAAGACATTAAATGAAAACCCAGCTGTTAGTATTAAAACTACCTAACGTCAAGTATACGAATTCAGAATTAGGAATACATTTTGGGAAAGCGAGAGAAAATCTGTTTTTTTGCATAGTATAGAGTTGTGTATAAGTAATTTAATGATTTGGTTGATTTCTTAAATGCAGTTTCAGTTTGTTGCTGGGAAAATGAGATTGATATTTCAGGTATTATAATTTTGAGTTTCGTCATTCTGAGACATGTAGGTAAAATTTCTTGTAGATTCCAAAATATTTTGTTGTATTGAAAACTTTTACTCTATAAATTGGAAGAAATTATCTTTTTTTGTTCTTATTACTCTCTCTGACTTTGGTTCTTCAGACCAGTGGTCACCAGCTGGTGGTCTGCGAGGTCCTAAAGTTTGACGACCGCTGCTGTAGACCACCTCTTCCCTGGTTATTCTAGACTATCTAGCCACCGACTATTTCTTTTTTCTTAGCAGTCAAACTTACTCTTTCTCACTGACTACCTACCTCTTCTCTAAGCAAGTTAGTATATCATTATCAAATTAATCTTTTTAACCACTCTATTTTGTTAACCACATTTCAAGAACCTTTTTCTTACTCCCCAGTTTTTATAATGTTATAAATCCACTTTTAGTTATTTGAAGCCACCGCACTCTAAGGCTCTGACTTCATTTTCCATTATGAGTCTCTGATGTGGAAAGTCGTCTTGCTTGGTCTTTCCTTTAGCCCTATCTCTCACATCACTTGTTCTTATCTCAGGAATGCCCATGCCTCTCCTAATTTTTCCAAATGTACTCATTCTTTGGATATAGTTTAAAACTCCTGTTCTATAAAACCTCTTCATATCCTATTTGAGCTCACATTGAGATATGTAATCCTCTAAAAGTTGTAAAAGTTCTGCAGTTCATTATTATCATCGTCATCATTCCGTTTGACAAATATATATTTTTTTACTACTCTGCTGTTCAAAATGCATATAATTTATCCTTCTAAATTAGTCTTAGCTACTTAAGAACAGTGCTTATCTTTTATTAATTCCACTAGAAGCCTGATGCAGGAAGATTTGTGCTAGAATGGGCTTTCCTTTCCCTGGCTGCCAGCACTGCCTTTCCACTCTGGCCCAGCCCCTTTCCCCTCATGCTCTGGAGCCGCCTCTTTCCACTCCAGCTGCCTTCCTAAGCTGCCCAGAGGCCCTGAGAGACAGGGGTGGGGCAGAACACCTCTGTCATCACCATGACAATGGTGTAAGCATCCCATCCTCTCACTGTGTGCCTGTGTATGCAAATTAACTGCCATCTTTGTTGAGTTAATTTGCATATTACTCTTGATTGGCTGGTGGTGTGGCGGAGGTATGGTCAATTTACATGTTTGTCTATTATTAGGTAAGACTATTTTTGTAGTACCTACCATGGTTAGTACCTACCATGTAATGGTTAGGCTATTACTTTATATAGGGTGCAGCAGCTACTTTTTAAAGGGGCGATTTAATCAAGGAAGAAAAATCTACACATAGTTACCATAAAGTCAGGTAACTATGAGTTGCCCCATATTAGTAATTTAAGTAATGTAGAAGTCTTGGAAGGATATCAAACAGTGATACAAATGGCATTTGACTATGCACTAAAAGATAAGGATAGTTTTAAAAGTTGCAGATGAAAAGAAAGAAAAGCAATTAGGAAGTATATTAAATGTAAAAGCTGTTTATCCAGACTGGCTAACTTACAGGTGCCGTGTCAGAAAGCAGTAGTGTAATTGAAGAAAGTGGAAAGCCTTTTGAAACAAAGCCTTTTTGTTGGTCTGAAGATTTTGAACTTAGTTAGTGGACAGTATTATAGTGAATAATATAATCATATTTCATGTTTTAGAAAAGTGTATTTTATTTTTTTCCACACTACCTAATATAGTGCTCTGCTTTCCGTTTTTATCTGGAAAAACAAAATTTATGTTTCTACTCTTTTAACACTTAGAATTGAACAAAATGTTCATTTTTATTGAATTATCTAGAGAAAAAAATTGATGAGTTTGTGGGTTTTCTTTCCCCCTTTCAGACATATCCTCATTTCTTCATACTGATTTTTGGGTTTGGTTTTTTATTTAAATTATTTAAAATAATTTAGATCTTAAGTCAGGTTATTCTCTCCCTTTTTTTGGAGATTGGGATGAGAATGAACAGTGTAAATTTAACTTATTAGAACCAAAACCTGTTTTTCATTTATAGTGAAAAAAAAATACCCAATTAAATTTTCATTTTGTAGCATGAATGCCAGAGCAATCTTACATAAGACAGACTGCAGCCCTACTCAGTTTTTCTCAGTGGTTAGAGTGTCAGCGGGAGGATTTGAAAGTTCTCAGGTGTGATTCCCATCACTGGCATGTACCTTGATTGCAGGCTCCATCTGGGGCGCATGTAGGAGGCAACTAAATCAATGTGTCTCTCACATTGTTGTTTCTGTCTCCCTCCCACTCTTTCTAAAAATCAATAGAAAAGATATCCTCAAGGGAGGATTAACAATAACAACAAAAAAGACAGACTGTAAATTTACTGAATTCTTTTATTGTATGTTTTAAATCTGACAATATCTATTTTCTAGGGTCATGTGAAGGTGGTGCGCTACTTAGTCAAAGAAGTCAATCAGTTTCCATCAGATTCTGAATGCATGAGATACATAGCAACCATCACTGATAAGGTAATGTATTGATCACATTCATCCTTTTGACTTCATTTGGTTTTATGTACATATATCCCACACTAAGAAAAAAGTCGTAGTTTGAGCAGTAATGTGTGCTATATAGCAATTTTTATTTATTATTTGGGAATTAAGTATGCTGTTTAAGAGACTCTTAGGGTTATTTATTTATGCTAATGAAATAATAAAACATTCTTAGTGATCAATTTACTTTATGTTTTTAAAAAGTACTAAACTAATTTAATTTTATGTGAACACTAAGCAATTAAAGCAAACGTTATTATTTATTAGTGTTATAATCTACATATGTGTGTCCAGACTGATAATATATTCTGAAAAGAACAAGCCCAGTGGATTTTTTTTTAATACCTAAACACAAATGAACATAGTACCTTTAATTGTGGGAAGAAAACTTTAATGTCTTCAAATGATATACAAGTGGGGGTAACTATCATCTTAAGGATGAACTGGCTAGGATTTTTGCAGAAAAGGTAGGGAAGATAAAATATCTTATTTTCCTATTAGAGATTTAATTGAGGCCTTACCCTGGTGCCATTTATATTTTGAGTTTATGAGACATACTCTGGAAATACAAAGAGGTCAATGCATATAAAAATGTCTATTATATTTTCTCAGCAGTTATTACATAAGAGTGAGCAGATTTTTCTCATAGGTTTTATTTAACTTTCACTGTGTTGCCTGTCTCTAGATTTCTCTGATAATTAACACTCCTGGGGTACCACTAGGTTATTTTGGAGGAGAAGGGAAGATTAAAATTAAGGCTTTTTGTCCTTGTAGGGAAAGGTCTGAGAATGAAATAACTGAGAAAAATTTATAGTATGTATGCCTTTGACTTTTCATCAGTGATTCCTGAACATGAAGTTTTAGCAACAAAGCTTAAATATGTGACTATCAGTTAAGAACTTCACAAAATTTAAAACCTGTTTTCTCGATTAACAATGACCTTTTCCTTAAGCCTATTAACCAGCTGACCTAAATTATTACACTTCCATTTGTTATATGATTTATATTCAATTTATAGGAGTAAGTAATTTTACTTTCCAAAGTACCAGTCAAATTTATATTATTTTGAAAAACATTAGAGGCTCTTTCTTGTATGTTTTTATTTATATTATTTTTTACCTTACCATTGGTCTTAATAGCTTATGTTCATTCAGTGAAGTACCTTAATATTTTAATGTTTTTAGGAATCTCTCTAAACATGAATTATTTTTTGAGGCTGGGAACATCTTCATTTTTCATTTTAGGAGATGCTGAAGAAGTGTCATCTTTGTATGGAATCAATAGTACAAGCCAAAGATAGACAGGCTGCTGAAGCAAACAAAAATGCCAGTATTTTATTAGAAGAGTTAGACTTGGAAAAGGTAATGATAACCTTTACATGTGAAAATACCAACTTTTTTCCCTTTTTGGCTTTATTCCCTTTATTTTGTAATCGGTTCTTTTTTTCTTGTTTCATTTTGTTGCTTTTGCTTTAAATTATGTACACGGTTTTCCCTCCAAGTTTGGCTCAGAGAATTATGAGTATGTTAAATATCATTAAAAGAATTTTCTTTGTAATCAAATTATAGGAATTGCATTGACCTAGAAGTCAGAAAACCTAGCTGCTAATACTGAGCTTTAGTCTTATCTCAACTAATGAGTTCTTAATTCCCATCCAAATCTATAGTTCATTGATCTTAGACCTTGTAATTTGTTGCCCGTATATTAATAGAAGTCCCAAATGCAATACTGAAGCATAATCAACTAGTAAAATACAACTTGGTGGAATGTTTAATAAGTATATTTTTTAAATGGGTGAATTCTCATGTACTTTTCTCTTTCAGGCAGACTGCGTCATTTCCGTCTTCCCAAGGGGAATATAATACTCCAAACAACATGTAGTTTGGGCAGTCTCATAGCTCCTTCTTTACTCCCCCTTCCTATCAATAACTCTGTCCTCAAGAATGTAATAGAGCTCTGGCTGGTTTGGCTCAGTGGACAGAGCGTCAGCCTGCGGACTGAAGGGTCCCGGGTTCGATTCCAGTCAAGGGCATATGCCCAAGTTGTGGGTTCGATCCCCAGTGGGTGGCATGCAGAAGGCATCCGATCAATGATTCTTTCTCATCATTGATGTTTCTATCTCTCTCTCCCCCTCCCTTTCTCTCTAAAATCAATAAAAATATATTTGGAAAAAAAAAAAAGAATGTAAGAGAAATAGTAATTATTCAGGAAAAGAATTGGTTGGCTCTGAATATTATGGAGTACATACACTGTCATATTTTTTGTCTATTAAAAACAAGTTTAGCCGAGACTGGTTTGGCTTAGTGAATAGAGCGTTGGCCTGCGGACTGAAAGGTTCCGGGTTCAATTCCGGTCAAGGGCATGTACCTTGATTGCAGGCACATCCCCAGTAGGGGGTGTGCAGAAGGCAGCTGGTTGATGTTTCTCTCTCATCGATGTTTCTAACTCTCTATCCCTCTCAGTTCCTCTCTGTGTAAAATCAACAAAATATTATATATATATATATAAAAGTTAAAAATTCCATAAAAGTTAACATATGCTGTTTAAATTTATAAAGAATAGTGATAATTGCAACCTATTGGATTTGAGTCAAGTCCATTTTTACTATTATATTTGCAGACTTTGTTAAGCTATATATTTCATTTTGCATAAAGAAAATATGGCCCTGCTGGTTTGACTCAGTGGATAGAGCATTGGCCTACTGAGTGAAAGATCCTGGGTTTGATTCTGGTCAAGGGCACATAGCTTGTTTGCAGGCTCCACCCCTGGCCCTAGTTTGGGTGCATGCAAGGGGCAAGGAATTGAGATGTCTCTCTCATCATTGGTGTTTCTTTTCTTTTTTGTTTTGTTTTGTTAATCATCACCCCAGGATATTTTTCCATTGATTTTTAGGGAGATTAGAAGAGAAAGGGAAAAACAGAGATTTTTTTTTAATCACTAATTTAAGTGTGAAAATATCCAGTTATTTTCTGGAAAAGTATATTTAATAATGTGTATTCTTCATTTTAAAAAATTTCTGATTTAGATTCTGATAAAAAAACAAGTTAGCTTTTTGGCCATTTTGAAGTTTTTTAAAGGAGAACATTGAGAGTATTATGAAAAATACTGTAATTATTGACCTATTTTCACACTTTATTTATTTATTAAAAATCTTTATTATTGAAAGTATTACATATATCCCCTTTTTCTCCCATTTGCCCCTTATAGCTTACACCCAGGCCTCTACCACCCTATTGTCTGGGCCATGCATATATGTATACAAGTTCTTTGGTACATATCTTCCCAACCACCCACTCACTCCCACCTTTCCTCTAAAATTTGACAGTTCCTTTGATTTTTGTGAATCTAAGAAACATTATAGCTGAACATAGACATCTATTTTTAAATAAAATCTTTATTTTCTCATATCTTTGATGTTCATACATTACATTAAGTACATTTAGAATTTATTGCATACATATGGATTACAAAGTAGGAAGCAGTTTTTAGGAGATACCAACCCTGTTTACCCAAAAATAAGACAGTGTCTTATATTAATTTTTGCTCCCAAAGATGCGCTAGGTCTTATTTTCAGGGGATGTCTTAATTTTCCATGAAGAAGAATATGGTACACATTTATTGTTAAATGAAAATAAAGGAAATTTATTACCTGTATACGGGACGGTAGTATGGTAGTTGTCAACACAAACCAAAAAGAATTTACTCATTTATTCAATGACAATCATGTCATCATCTTCTGGAACATCATCATAACAATCCAATTCCTGAATTTCCTGGTTAATTTCTTGTGACTCCATTTCTTTCAGAATCAGTGGACCAAATCTCTCATGTTTAGCCTGGGGGGGAGGCTTATTTTCGGGGGATGCCTTATATTTTACTCAGAAGGAAACCTGTAAGTAGGTCTTATTTTCGGAGGATGTCTTATTTTCGGGGAAACATGGTACTAGGGTGTGTTCTCAATCAACATTGTTTTTCCTTTTTCTGCATTATAATATTGTGTTCATTTTAAACTGAAATATGCAAAGATAACTAAAGAAAAGCATAGTCATCATAAGTTAATAACTAAAGTTATAAACCTTGTATAGTAACTAAAGTTCTCAACTCTATAATTACCTATAAAGTCTTTTAAGAGCCTACGTGATATATCCACCTGCCCTACTCCTTACACCTCTCTGGTCGTCTTTTTTTTATTCCTTTCTTTTGGTTACTTTGCTCCATTTATTGTCCATTCTTTTTTTTTCCCTTGCTGTACCTTCTGCCTTTAATGTCTCATGCAGGTGCCTCATGTTTTATTCTGCCTTCCACAAATATTCTTCCTACTCTTCTAACTTATTTTTACTTTGGAACATTCTAAATACTGTATTTTATTTTATTATTTTGTTTATCTCTCTCCACTACTAGAATGTATGCACCACAAAAGGATGTGTGGCATGTTGTAGGCATTCAATAAATATTCGGTGAACAATTAAATCTTTACATATATGGAGATTGTATACTTTAAAAAAAAAAATCATGCAAGCCCTAGCTCTTTTGGCATCAGCCTTTGGACTAAAGGGTTCTGGGTTTGATTCCATTCAAGGGCAAATGCCCGTCAGGTTAAGGACTTGATCCCCATTAGGGAGCATGCAAGAGGCAGTCTATGATTCTCTCTCATAATTGATGTTTCTATCTCTCCCCTCTCCCTTCCTCTCTGAAATCAATAAAAAAAATAAGAGTTATGCAAGCCCTGGCCAGTGTGGTACAGTTGGTTGGGCATCGTCCCATGCACCCCAACGGTTGCTGGTTCAATTCCCAGTCAGGGCACATGCCCAGGTAGCAGCTGATCCTTAGTGCAGGTGTGCAGGAGGCAGCCAATAAGTGTTTTGCTTTCACATCAAAACACTAGATCTCTCTCTCTCTAAATTCAATTTAAAAAATCTTACAAAGGAATTGTGCAAGCATATTATTGTAATACTTGCTTTTCCTCCTCTCAGTAATTGATGGATATTCTTAAATGATAGTAATTTAAATAACTGCAGAATATATCCTATAGTAAATTTGTTTCCAGCTTTTTATCACTACAAATAATGTTGCAATAAACATCCTTATGCATGATTTCTTATATTTTGGTGCTTTTATTTTTACAGAGTAAGTTTCTTCACTTAGGCCAATATATTTAAAATTTGATACTTTCAGAGTATTTTCTTACTATACATACCATCAGCAAATACATCAGTGTCAGTGTCTTGAATTCATTTTTTTAATCCTCTTCACCTGAGGATATTTTTCCATTGAATTTTTTTTTTTTTTTTTTTTTTTTTTAGTTTTAGAGGGAGAATGGAAGAAAGAGGAGAGAGAGATATCTATGAGAGAAACACATTGATTGGTTGCCTCCTGCGTGAGCCCTGACCAGGGCTTGGACCAGGGGAGCCTGTAACCAGGTATGTGCTCTTGGCCTGAACCCGGGACCTTTTGGTTCTCAGGCTGATGCTTTTCCATTGAGCCAAATCAGCTGGGGCTTGAATTCTTGCCAACATTTACCTTGATGTTCATGCTTTTAAGAACCTCAAATTTAAAGCAAGTCAAAGGAATTTTCAGATTACATGTTTCCACCATATTAAGCCTCAAAGGTGATAATTTTATTATAAATTAAATGTTAAGTTGATTATTCCATATGCACTTTATAAACTGTTTTGAATGGGGGTGGTACATAAATAGAATTCTAAATTGTGGAGAAGGTTCTATAATTTTAGTATTTCTATTTGAAGAATTACCAGATTGGGATCTGATAGGGTTTGGTTCATTATTTTTTAGTTATGATTTACATCTAGGAAAATAATACTTTTTGTCTTTTGAGAGACAGTATATTTTTGCTCCATCTTTTCTGATTTAGAAACATCACTGGAGTTGGTCTTATTTGGTCTAAGCTGAATTTCTACATGGGTAACTTACTGCTTTTATAAAAATGCTTTTCTGACCAGCCTAATTTGAACATTTTGGTTAATAGGTTAATAGAACAGCTGCTGAGGATGCTCCTCATTATATTTATCAGATTCATTCCCTTATTATTCAGCAAACATTTATTTGCTGAGCATTTACTATGTTGCAGAGTCTCTACTCTGGAGACAGTTTATCTGGTCGAACTATGGAATTTTCAGTTCATTGCTTGTTCTCTTAGGACATTAACAACTAAGTTTTGTTCTTGGCTGTTAGAGCCCTTAGTATTGTTGGCTTGCATTTTTGATATTTGTTTCACGCTTCCACTTTACTACTTACTGTTGTTCTTCCTACCTTTTTCTTTATAAACATTCATAGCCTTTTAGGGAGAAATGTGGGTTACGTTTTTAAAATATTTAGAATAGATATTTTCAGTTGTTTTGTT